CACAGCCAGGTGTGTCTAAGCACCACAGTAAAGGGGTGCAGTCCCCAAAAGGCACCACAACTAAAGCATGTGTGGGCACCAGGACCTGGAGTGCACTATCTAACATGCAAATGTGTGAGCATAGCCTCTCCTGACAAGCCTAGAACAGTGCATGAAGCTAACAGCCACAGCATGCAGTGCTGGGAGAGTGCCCTGGCTTTGTGCAGGCACCGGAAGCTGCTGTGTGGCCCATGACAAGCATAGTTGATATGTGAGCTAGCACCCGCTGTGCATGTGTGTGGCCCCTCTGGTCATCACTACGCAGAGAAGGGGGTGTAAAACTTAAAGTGAGCATTTTTTTTTTGCTTTTTTGGGGGTCACACCTGGCAATGCACAGGGGTAACTCTTGGCTCGTGCACTCAGGAAATGCTCCTGGCAGTGCTCAGGGGACCATATGGGATGCTGGGAATTGAATTGACCTGGGGTCAGCTAATTACAAGGCTAACACCCTACCCACTGTGCTATTGCTCTAGCCCTAAAGCGAGCTTTTCAAAAAAGTTACTATGCAGCCACAGCACTTGAAACTTTTGACAGATATTTGTGGAACAGAAGAAAAAATCCATATCCAGGGGCCGCAGCGACAGTACAGTGGATGTTTTGGCCTAGCACGTGGCCGACCTGGATTTGATCCCCAGCATCCCATAGGGTCCCATGAGCACCGCCAGGTGTGACCCAAAAACCAAAAAGAAAATCCATAAACAGACCCATACAAATTGACAGATTAAAACATTTGGAGGGAGGGGTGTGCTAAGCAGGTATTCCAGGCAGTGGTCAGGGAACTGGTACCAGGAATCAAATCCAGACCTGCGCTATGGAAAACAGGCACCTAATCCTTAGAGCCATCTTTCCAGCACTGCTTATTTTTTGTTTTGAATTTTTGATAGTACTAAGGATAGAATCCAGGACCTCAGACTTGTTAGGTTTGTTGGGTACCACTTAGCCACATCCCAGCCCTAGTCTGTTTTTTGAAAAATACTAAGGCAGTTAAATAGACATGGGTATGTTGTAGAAAAAGGAGTGTTCACTAAATGGTATTGAAACACTAGGATGCCCCCATGCAAAAGTTAAACCTTGACCAAATACATGAAGTAATTCAATATGGATCACAATATAAATGTGACAAGTATCAAGGACGCTTTTAGGAGAAACATGAAACTTGCCTTGCACACTGCGTACACGGGTTCGATCCCGGCATCCCATATGGTCCCTGAGCATTGTGAGAAGAGAACACTGAGCATCACCAGGTATGGTCCAAAAAAACAAAGGAGGGGGATGGGGGCTGAATAGGTGATACTGTGGGTAGGACACTTGATTAACATGATGCCAACCTGGGTTTGACCCCCGTTTCTTTGTATGGTCCCACAAACCTGCCAGGCATAATCTCTGAGCACAGAGCCAAGAGTAAAAAGTTGAGGGGATGATACAAGGGTTAAGGTAAGGTACAGTCCCTGCATGCACTGACCCTAGTTGAATCCCTGGCACCAGAGTTTCCCAAGCATCACAGTGTAGCCTTGGAAACCCCTAGGAACCATGGGGATGCCAGGATAATCCCCAGCACCACACCACTGACTCAGCCCCGGACCTCAGAGCCTTGCAACAGACCACTGACTTATTTGTCTGAGAATCACAGGCAGGAACATAGACCCCCCTAAGCAGTGCTTAGAAGCCTTCCCCTCCCCACCGGAAGGAGGGAGAAAATGATGGAAAATAGGCTATATAGAAGATATTTGCAGCTCACATCAACTTATTTCTAGGGCCAGAGACCTTCAAGCCCAGAGAAGTGCATGCTTGGCATGTGGGAGCCCTGGATTTCATCCCTGCCAGGAGCCACATGGGCCACCATGCTCCACTGGGCTGACCCCTGGGCACTGTTTTTTTTTAAAATACAAGGACAGGGGCTGGAGTGATAGCACAGCGGGTAGGGCGTTTGCCTTGTACACGGCCTGACCTGGGTTCTATTCCCAGCATCCCATATGGTCCTCCAAGCACGGCCAGGAGTAATTCCTGAGTGCATGAACCAGGAGTAACCCCTGTGCATCACTGGGTGTGACCCAAAAAGCAAAGAAAAAAAATACAAGGACAACTGAATAGAAAAGAGTATGCAGTAGAAAAAAGGATAGTGTTCAATAAATGATACTGAAACATTTGACTGCCCCTATGCAAAAAAATTAAACTTTGATCAAAGACATGAAATGTCAGGTTTTGGATCCACCCTGCAAAAAAAACCCCAAAAAACCCACAACAACAACTTGTATCTAAGAGGTTTTTTTTTTTTTTGCCTTTTGGGTCACACCCGGCGATGCTCAGGGGTCACTCCTGGCTCTGCACTCAGGAATTACTCCTGGAGGTGCTCAGGGGACCATATGGGAATGCTGGGATTCGAACCCAGGTTGGCCGCATGCAAGGCAAACGCCCTACCCACTGTGCTATCGCTCCAGCCCCTCTAAGAGTTTTTTGAGGCTAAGGGGTAGGCCCACACTTGACACTGCTCAAGGCACCATATGTGGTATCAGGATCAAAACTGGGTCTGCCAGATGCAAGGCAAGTGCCCTACTCACTGTCTTTTCAACTCTACCGAGATACTGTTTTTTGGCGTTTATTTATTTACTGAATCACCCCAAGATTTTTTTTTTTTCTTTTCAGGTCACACCTGGCGATGCACAGGGGTTACTCCTGACTTTTGCACTCAGAAATTACTCCTGGCGGTGCTCAGGGGACCATATGGGATGCTGGGAATCGAACTCGGGTTGGCCGCGTGCAAGGCAAATGCCCTACCCGCTGTGCTATCTCTCCAGCCCCCAAGATACTTTTTTAAAAACTGAAATGGGCCGGAGCTGTAGTATGGGTGCTTGCCTTAGACGTGACTGACCTGAGTTCAAGCCGCAGCATCCCATATGGTCCCCTGCACACTGCCAGTGAGTGAGTGCTGAGTGCAGTGCTAAGAGTAAGCCCTGAGTACCACCAGGTATGGCTCAAAATGCAAAAATAAACAAGAGAAAAGCTGTATTCCACTTTTTTGTCTACATTGTCACAATAGGCACAGTCACATCATTTGAAAACAGAATGGTATCCATTAAATAAATAACTAGGTAGGTATTTTGGCTGATTCCCTGTTTGGATTAATGCTGCAGTGAAGGACGCAACTGTTCTTTCAAACTAATGTTTTAGTATTCTTTGGATACTTGCTTAGGGCTTGTACTTAAAAAATATGTGAATGGAAATACATGGTATTTCCATTCTTAGATTTTAAGGAAGACACGGGAAGTTTTGGGATGCATAGTGGGTTTTTTTAAAAATTATTTTTATGATGTTGATTAGCGTCAGTATGTACAATGAAACTGAACAGTACACCTGAGAATGTCCCTTTTACTATATGCCAGGTAAGTGAGAAATACAAAGGTGAGGAGACAGAGTGATAGCGCGGCAGGTAGGGCGCTTGCTTTGCTTGCAGCTGGCGGGCTCGATCCCCCAAGCCTTGCTAGTAGCGATTTTTGAGCACAGAGCCAATAGTAAACACTGAGCGAGTGTCAGGAAAAAAATGAAAAAAAAAAAAAAGAATGAATACCCGATTGAAGTCATGCGACAGACCTGGGGAGAGTGCAGGAGTTTAGGTGCTTACCTGCACGGGGCTGACCTTGGCTTGATCGCAAGTCAGCACCATGTATGGTCTCCCAGGGACTTCAGGGTGACTCCTGAGCACTGCTGGGTACAATACTCTAAAGTCAAAGGGCTGTGCAGATCGGAGGGTTAGCAGCTTACCTTGCATGGAGCTAACCCCTGAGCACAGCTAGGTGTGGCCCTGAAAACAAAGTAACTGAATCTGGTTAAGATGAGAAGACTTAACTACACTTCCCCAGCACTGAGGGGGGTACTTAGTACTCAGGAGAACCTACTACTCAAGATTCCCTTATCAGTGTGGCTGTGCAGAGGACAGTCTCCAGGATTAGTCAGGACTTCTTTATTATTCCCTCTCTTGGTCTGTAACACCTTAACTTCTTCCCTTTGAGCAGTGAAAGTGTCTGAGGCCCAGTTTCCTCCCTTCCTGTATGTGAGGTATGTTTCATAGACTCTGAGGCAGTATTTCTTGTTAGAAAGTGGGGGTGTATTTGGTCTGTTTTCAGTTTAAAGAGGACTCCTTTTCTCTATGGCTGGTCAAGTGCCTGGGACTTGATTCCCTTTGCTGCGGGCCACGCTGGGGCCGGCTGGGGCTGAGAGCTGGGGTCAGGGATTGAGAACCTGAGTGGGTTCTCCTGCAGAAACGGCCCAGGCCTTTCCTGAGTGCCACTAACAGAGCTCTCTGGTCAGGATCACTTCCCTGTTGTTTTTGTTTTTGTCAATGTTCTGTGTTTTAAAGTCACAGTCATCAGTGCTGGGGGCTGCCCCCAGCTGTTGATGGTGCAGGGGATCGAACGTGGGGCTCCCACATGTCCAGTTCTTTGAGCCTTCTCTCAGGCCCCAGCAAATCTCTTTTTATTCCCCACTCCTCCATAGCCCCTTCTTCCCGCCTGGGGACCCTGAATGACTCCTGTTCATGCCTTTTCTGAGGAGACCCTATTTAAAATGGGTAAACTGACTATCATTCAGGGCAAACAGATTCTGCTGTTGGTCATTTTCCCCCCTCTTTAGTCCAGTGTAGTGTTTAAGTCTAGAGAGCAAGCTTATTCACAGCACTTAATAACTGTTACTTTTTTGTTGTTGGGCCACACCCATCTGTGCTCAGGGCTTACTCCTGGCTCTGTGCTCAGGGCTCCCTCCTGCAGGTGCTGGGGATGGAACTCAGGTCTGCTGTGTGCAAGGTAAGCACTGTACTTGCTCTATCAGATCTAAATGGTGCCTTTTAAGTACAGGAATTTGACTGTGAAAAAGGTGCTGGGCGTGTAAGACTCAGTTTTTTTTTAGTCGAGTTTAATATTATTAAACACTGCGATTTCAACATTTTAAATAACTTCTTCCTTTTGTAGGCTGTTATCATTTGTATCAAAAACAAAGAATTTGAAAAGGCTTCAAAAATTTTGAAAAAACATATGTCCAAGGACCCTACAACTCAGGTAAATTTGATGTGACTTAAATCCTTTCCTGTTTGTGGGAGGAGACAGTTATTTGTTAGGAATGTTCTCTGACTATTCATCTTTAAAATCTCAGCCTGTCTTTTATATTGTAGTATTCTTTTATATTTTACATGACTTACCATGTTATATTGGATTTCCAAATTTCTTTTTTATTAGAGAACTATACATAGGTTATTTTACTTACCCCCTTCTTTCTGGTTAGGGACAGTGTTTAAGCTATCAAAACCAAAAAAAAAGCTATCAACACCATAATTCTTATTTTTGTTTTTTTGGGCTATTCTCGATTTGCTCGAGTGGGCCCAGTAACATCTCCATTGGAGACTTTGTTGTTACTGTGTCTGGCATATCGAATACTCTCGGTAGCTTGCCGGGCTCTCCGAGAGGGGCGGAGGAATCGAACTCGGGTCGGCCATGTTGGCCGCTTGTAAGGCGAACGCCCTACCCGCTGGGCTATTCTCGACTATGCTCAGGGATCACTCTTGGTGGGGCATGGGGTACTATATGTGGTTCCAGGGACTGAACCCAGGTTAGCCACGTGGGGTAAGCACTGTACCTGCTGTACTTTAGCCCCACCATAATACTTCTAAATTTACTTACTTAAATATTAATCCTTATAGACTTGAGAATCTGCCTTAGTAGAGACTTTCTGGAGTCAGAAATTCTTTTGATACCTTGCTATTTTTTTCTTAATGTTGGGCTTTTGGACCGACTCCTAGCTGTGTTTAGGACCTAGCTGTTCCTGGCTATGCTTGGGGGACCCAGTGTAGGGGACTGAATTGCAGCCACATAGAAGGCAAGTGCCATAAACCCTATACTAGTTTTTTGGTCCCTCAAATTTAAATTTAGTTTTGGGAAAGATAATATGTTTGATCCCTGAAAACATGGAATTCCCAAGCATCACTGGATATGGTCCCTGGACGCTCTTGGTAATCCTGGCACCACTGGGTTGACCCAAACCGCACTGCATCCTTGGGTCCTTGTGTTGACCACTGGCCTGGTTGCCTGAATAGCCAAAAGGGGCTCCTGTACCTCCTGAGAACTGCTTGGGAGTCCCATACCTCCTCAAAGGGAGGGGTGTGAAAAGGTACTATTTATAATTAATATAAATTCAGAAGTACAAAAAAGAGGTTATTGAAAATTCTGACTCAGTCAGCCTCGTTCCTTTTCTCAGGAGCAGTCGGTGCTTTTTCTTTTATCCTTTCAGAGCTCTTTGTATAAGCGGGCAGCTAAGTGTGCATGTGTGTATATATACACACACAGATCCATTTTTCCTGCTCTTCCCATACATGTACTTGAGAATATTCTGCCCACAAATTTGAGTATTTTTTAAGAGGGCCCTTCCTGGTGGTGCTCGGGGGGCAGCAGAACCCAATGCGGCAGCGTTGGGGAGATCAGACAGTGACAGGAGATAATCTCAGGCTCTCACACGTGGCTAGGTATGTGTGAGAGCTATCTCCTTCATCTGAATCTATAAGTTACTTTCTTAGAGTTGCTCATTCTGTATTATTAGGTAAGGAGATTTTTTTTTTTTTTTTTTGCTTTTTGGGTCACACCCGGTGATGCTCAGGGGTTACTCCTGGCTTTGCACTCAGGAATCACTCCTGGCGGTGCTTGGGGGACCATATGGGATGCTGGGAATCGAACCTGGGTCGGCCGCGTGCAAGACAAATGCCCTACCCACTGTGCTATTGCTCCAGCCCCAAGGAGATTTTTTTTGAACTCTCTTTTCGAAAATTAAAAATGGGAGCTGTCGGGGTGCTGGAGAGATAGTACAATGGGTACGGTGTATGTCTTGCACACAGCTGACCTGGCTTTAGCACCAGGTAATAGCTAGCTATAGACTAAAGATGAATAACTTGGGATCGAAAGTTACTTAAAGCCTGGGGTCGTGGCTGAGTGGCAGAGCACGTGCCTTGTATTTGGTAGTGTGGAAGACCTGGATTTGATCCCCAGCACCAAAAAGGAGGAAAAAAATCATCTCACACATATTTACACTTCTTAAGGGCTGGAGCGATAGCACAGCGGGTAGGGCGTCTGCCTTGCACGCAGCCAACATGGCCGACCCGAGTTCGATTCCTCCGCCCCTCTCGGAGAGCCCGGCAAGCTACCGAGAGTATTCAGTATGCCAGACACAGTAACAACAAAGTCTCCAATGGAGACGTTACTGGGCCCGCTCGAGCAAATCGATGATCAACGGGAGGGGCTTTTTTTTTTTTTTTTAAGCTTTCTTCATCTATTTGGTGGTACCAGGAGTGGAACCCAGGGCCTTATTCATGCGAGGCACGTGCTGTACCATTGAGTCACATCTCAGTCCCCACTGGGTAGATTTTGCTTTTTGTTGTTTTTTTTCTTTTTTTTTTCTTTTGGTCTTTGTGCCACATCCAGCTATGCCCAGGCCTTACCCCTAGTTCTGGCTCTGTGCTCACTCCTGACAGTGCTCAGGAGGACCAGAGACTGGGATTGGCTTCTTGTAAGCAGGCACCTTCCTCCCACGTAGCACACTCCAGCCCAAAAGCATGTCTTAACTCAATGAATTTTCAGAGTTCTCCATCCTCATGTTGCAAATATTGGTCCTATGTGTAGAAGCTGAGGAATGACCTCCTGAACATTATCCGTGAAAAGAATGTGACCCATCCTGTTATCCAGAACTTTTCCTACGAGATCTTCCAGCAGAAGATGCTGCGCTTCCTGGAGAGCCATCTGGATGACACGGAGCCCTACCTCCTCACGGTGGGCTGCCACCTTCCTCTCACCCGCTGTAGCTTTGGGGGATGTTCAGGCAGTGTTCGGGAAAAGACAACTTGTTTTAGATGTGAAATGAGTGAAAGTGTGGGAAAGACTCAAAATTCTGTACACTGTCTTCCTTAGTGCTTTAAAATGAAATCTATAGAAGCAGAGATATCTGGCAGAGGGAAGTGGGTCGCATGGCCTCTCCTCACATCCATTTCACTGTTCTATAGGAGTATAATATTTTGAGTAAAGTGGAATATAAGTAGTTGATGGAGATTCCCATAGGAGGTGAAATTTGAGTCTGGGGAGATAGTGTTTTATATACGGCATGATGGTGGTGTGAACAGGAAGAAGGCGTAACTGGAGAAAAACTGATTAGAAGTGTGCTGAGACAAGAGGCCCAGAAGGAAAGAGAGGCTGAGGTTCTGGAGAATGAGGGGAAGAATTAGACCATGCTCTCTTGGAGAGAGTCTAAGGAAAACAATATATTTGCTTGTACCAAGATTTCTGAGAGGTGGGTGGAGAGTCACACCCAGCAGTGCTCAGGGCTTACTCCTGGCGCTGGCTTGGGAGACCATATGGGGTGCTTGGGATTGAACCTGAGTCAGCTATGTGTAAGGCAAATGCACTACCACTGTAGTGCTGCTTTGGCCCCTGTTGGTATGTAGAAAATATCCTAGCTCTTAATTGTAGCTGTGAGATTCATATTAAGTGCAGGTCAACAATCTTCATATTGGACACACCTCACCTTGTAATCTATAATAAAAACCTTACAAGTATTAGGTCTGGCCTTAGAGTTTTTCCTGTGTGACCCAGGCAATTGGAAAATAATCTGCCACTGTTTCTCTGTGAGGAGAGACACTCAGTTCTTTAAGACATTATCCATGGATAGAAATAGTACAGGTATTAAGGCGTTTGCCTTGTGTGTGGCTGATCCTGGTTTGAGCCTTGGCACTGCATATAGTTCCCGAGCACCACTAGGAGTAGCCCCCCTGAGAACCATCCTATTAGCCCACCCCTCTAACTCCCATCACCCCCCAAAATAGACATACTTATCTGGTTACAGATTTGTATCTGAAATGATAATAGCAAACTGATTGGAAATTATCAAGTCATTCATAAAACCTCAACCATAGTAAAACAGATAAGCAGTTGGAATTGGAGCGAGATTGAGAGTAAGACTAACTTTGTACTCAGGGTTTCATACAGTACAAATAAAGATCTTTCAGAGTTAAGGCAAAATGTAATTGTAGAAATAATGACATGAACTTGTATGCACAATGAAAGGCATGCCAACCTTAGTTACCCTAGTCTGAGAAGAAATGTTTGGCTTTTGTATATAATATGAAAAATATTTTGGGGATTATGGAAAATCATCACTCAAAAGAGGGAATAGAGTAAAATCATATAATTATTTGCTAAGGATTAAAGCATTCCTGCAGTATCGATACAGTTTTGCACCTTGACAAAGTGTTTTCCTATAGAAAACCACCACTTTCCGAGGAAAGAAATGTGAGGAACTGCTTGCCTATACCCTCCCTCTCTAGTCTGGGCCTGGATTGGATCTGTAAGTGTTGCATATTGAGGATGTACATGGGAGCAGGAGAAGAGAGCATGTGAGACCCTGCTTCCTCTCTTCCTGATGGCATGCTTCCTTTCAGGTGGCCAAAAGGGCGTTGCGACCAGAGGCTGCTACCTCCGCAACCCTGAAGGAAGAGAAGCAGCCAGCACCAGAGCCCGTGACCAAGTCGCCCCGAGAACCTGCCAGGTAAGAGGATGCCCTTTCGAGAGCCGGGGAGGCACAGGGTGGTCTGCTGGAAGAGGGGCAGCCCCTGCCAGTGATCAAACTCCCGTAATTTGCATTATTCACTCAAGGCCCGAGGTTCCTCTAAGGTTCTCTTTTTCTCTCTCCTGCCTCACATCCACTCAGTACTTCTGATGGATTCTTAATCTTTTAACATTCACGAAGTGGAGTTCACACTTGTGAATGAGACTCCCCAGATCACAAGTTTAAACCAATTCTTAGCGAGCACGGCAGGTGAGGGTGGAGGGTAGGAGTTTGAGAATCAGACCTGTGGCGCAGAGCAGTTGACACTTCAGGAGTGCTACAGGGGGACAGCTACCCAGGATGCCCAGACTTGGGATCTGTGTTGGGGCACTGGCTCGGGGGCTCTGTGGGAGAGTGTATGTGTCACTGATAGGATGCCCTGAGCGCCATACTTAGCACCAAAACTAAAAAATAAATATTTTATGTAAGATGAGAAATTTTTCTTCCTAATATTATCAAAGTTTTACTAATAGTTACTCTTACTCATTTTATTAATGCTCTTGTTACTGCCATTCCTGGCAGCACTTGAGGAACCAGGTGCTGGCGCTGAACCATGAGGTCCCACATGCACAGCCTGTGTCCAGTCCTCTGAACTCTCGCCCTGGCCCTGCTCTTGGAGCGCACATTCTCCTGAACACGGCTCCCGCGTGCTTGTCCCGGCGTTTCTTTGCTTATTTACACTCTGGAGAAGGCTGTGCTCTCTCTTGAGTATGCCCTTCTCCTTCTCTCTCCCCTCACAGCTTTCTAAATTGGGTGCAATAAAAAACAACCTTGCTTCACCAATAAATAGGTAAACCCAAAACTTACACGCTTAGGTGGTAGGACACATTTGTCAGCTAACTTCGCTCTCTAAGGCTGCCTCTGCTAAGAGTTTTTACTTGCAACATACACTAATTATTTCAAATGCTAGATAGGGCTGGGGTGTGCCTTTGCATGCAGGGATTCTTCAATCCCTAGGACTGTAGAAATAAAAATAATCAAATGATAACTTGGTTTTGAAAACGCAGTTTCTCATTGTTTAAAGCAATGTACAGCTCTTATTACTAAGAGTTCTCAAGAAAACGGTCCTAAAAGTAATCCAGGAAAGAAAGGACAGTTTGGAGATTTAGTCTTTTACTTCTTTTTCTAACGTTTGGACTAGAACACCTCAAAGACTCCCAAAGGGAGATTGGTTGGTTGTCCAGAGGGAATGGGAGTTCTTAGGCAGTAACTGCAGAATTCTTGCAGAGGGAGAGGCGTTATTTCTATCCATATAGACGGGATTGGAAAGCACATAAGCTTAGCTCTCTGGAGGCCAGACCAATGGCCTAGCTCCTAATAAGATACTTCTCCTCGGATTTCATTTACTTGGCGGCGGGAGTTTCTGGTGGTGCTTCTCTAGGGTTGTGCCTAAAGTGCTGGGCGGCCACGTGCTGCCGGAGATTGAACAGGGCCAGCCACACGCACGGCAAGAGCCTTAACCTCAGTCTTCTCTTTCCAGCCCCTTACTTGAATTTGATTTGATAATTCAACTTAAATAGCGCGTTTTGTGCTACATTTTCTGGAGTGCTCGGGGGCTACTCCCGGCCTTGGGGGTTGCCACTCCAGGCAGTGCTGGGAATTGAACCCAGGCCTCCTGCATGCAAAGCATGTGCACGAGCCCTTTGACCTACCATCTCCCACCCCACCTCCACTCTGTCATCATCATTTGGGTGCTCAAGGCACCATATGCAGTGCTGGGTCAGCAGCATGCAAGGCAGCACCATACCTCCTTGGCCCTCTGCCTCTTTAGTAAAGCATTCTGATCATGAAGGCATCCTCTAGCTGGAAGCTTCAGGCGCTGAGGAAGTTGTAGCTCTCTCACTGATGGTGACCCTGATCTCTGTTTGTCTGCTTTACTCGTAGGCAACTCCAGAATCCCCCAACCACCATTGGAATGATGACTCTGAAGGCAGCTTTCAAGACTCTGTCTGGTGCCCAAGATTCGGAGGCAGCATTCTCGAAACTGGACCAGAAAGACCTGGTACTTCCTAATCGAGTGTCTACATCATCTCCAGTCCTCAAAAGCAAGAGACCAAGGAGAGATGACAGTGAAAGTTCAGCCCTTGCTGAGGGCGAGGGCAGCTCTGAACTGCAGCCCAAGAGCAAGCGCATGACAATAAGCAGATTGGTTCTGGAGGAGGACAGCCAGAGTACAGACCCGGGCTCAGGCCTTGACTCCTCCCAAGAAAGCGTACCGGCATCGCCGCCCAAGCCCACCGCTCTCAACCAACCCCTCCCTGGGGAGAAGAATCCCAAGTATGAAGACCTCCTTTGTAGCAGTTTTGGGGCTGGTTGGTGGTCCTGGTTGGGCCTGGTATTGAGTCCATGAATGAAGCCACTTGCAGCTAAGTTATGCGCCATCAAGGCTTCCTCAGACTGTTAGCATGTGACTCGGGAGTGGGGAGTGACGACATAGCCCCCCACCAGTGCTGAAGTCCCTGAGCGTCCAGGCTTGGCACTGGGGCATGAGTGAGGACGGGAAGGTTTCAAAGCCTCCTACTCATCGCTGCTTTCATTCCTAGCCAACTTCTCAGTGCCTACCACATGGTAGTCTCGTTAAAAGAAAATTGAATCGGGCCACATTATATTTTGATCCTTAGAAGAGACATGAATATTTAGTTTTGCACCTTCTATGAGCATTCTGTGACTTGGCAAATTCAGTAAATATTTATCAATTGCCCGTTTTCTCCTAGGTTCTGGGGCAGTGGTTAGAAAGCTTTCGTTTGGCTCTACCTCAGGACCCCAGCCTGGCTTTCGAGTTTTGCTACCCTTTGTGCCTTGTTGTGGGTCCTTCCTCCGGGCAAACTCGTCTGCTTGCTTTCTCTGGAACACAATGTATTTGTTTCTGCTACTGTACTCTTCCTGTCATTACCCATGGTTGGACTATCATCCCTTCATCATTGCTTGTCAAAATCCCATCCATCTTTCAACAGGAAGAGAAGCGGATGCTGACTGCTTTCTGGGGGCCCAGCACTTTTGAGCATTACCTTACTGATTCTCTGCCGTCTGTACAATGTTAGTGATAGATTGATTAGCCTCATTTAACTGATTAGGGAAGCACAGAAAAGTTACTTGCCTGAACTCACAGCTGCAAAGTGGCAAGCTGAGCATGGGGTATTTAATTCAAGTCAGTCTTAACAGACAAGCCCGTGACCTGTAGATCATATACACCATGCTTCCTCTTAATTCTGCCTCCTCCATGAGTCTTCCCTGATCTCCTTGCTGTAAGTGATCATCTTGCTGGTCTCCCCAGGCCACTGTCATCCCGACCACTGCTCTCTGTTGTGGTTGTATGGGGGACCTGTGTTCTGGCATGCATGTGTAGGTGCCCTAAGGGGTTGGAGCATTTGATAAGTGATTTATTTTCAGGTACAAATCTGTACTCTCTGCACCACTACCTACATTTGAAAGTGAGTCCTAAGTTGACAAATGGGCACAGCTGGTGGGAAACAGATGCAGCTCAACACACTTGCTCTCATTTGATATCTAAGCTTATTATGAAGCTTAAGTATTCCACCAGATGGGAAGCTAGCAACAGGGAAGGCTTAGAGTGATTTTTATAAAGGGAAGGCCTTGTGAAGGCTTCAGACATATATACCTTTCAAGTCAAAGGTATGAAGCATGATGGATACTCTTAAGCAAAAGTTGGCAAACAAAAGCCCCTGGGCTAAACTGGCCTACTGCTTGTTCTTGGAAATAAAAGTTTCACTGGAACACAGCCACATCCATCATTTTGATGCTACATTGCTGAGATAGTATCACCTATATTATCAACCTTTTAACAGAAAAATGGGATCCAGTGATCTCAGCTCTAAAGGAGTGTATGTGATGGGTGCTGGGGGTTCCAGGAGAGAACTAAGCTTGTTCAGATTTGGAAGTGGAGTAAACTTTGCAGAGAAGCAGACAGTAAGTTGGCCATGGAGTGGGGGTGGGGCGGGAAGATAAGGCAGCAGGAGCGTCTTGCATCAAGGCGCGCGAGTCTGGCATGCTCCAGAAAGGCCGTGGGGCCTGTGTGGCAGAGGAGTGCAGAAGGGCAAGAGCAACAGTCTGGGTGGACAGGCCAGGGCTCGCATTTCTGTCCTATTCCAACAGGCAGAGGTTTGCAGGCCAGAGATCCTTTATCACCTGTGGACTAATTCTTAACTGTACATTCCCAGGTTCCTGGCTACTAAATTAAAAAGGGCAGAGGACTTCTCTGTAACCTGTTCTGGAGGGGCTGGGGGATGTGTGGGACCAGGAATCGAACCTTGGCTCTAGTGCTATGAGCCAGCTCCCTGGCTCTACGATCGGCTTCTCTAACTGTGCCCCTGGTAAGTCCAATATAAGCAACCTGAAGCCCACTGAGGGTTTCCTGAGAGGATACGAGCGACTGCCCGGGAGTGCACTCAGGTCTAGGGGGATCTAGGCAGTGGAGCTAGAGGACAGTATGGCAAGATCTGGGTGATCATCTGGAAGGCAGGGCCACAACTACGAGTTTTATTGTTTTATTTCCAAGGTATCTGACAAGTCCTTAATAGACATAACCAATAAAAATAATTCATGGTTCTTGAAATTTAAAACTATAAATGGACAGTAAAGAACTAATGTTTTGTGCTTTGTGGGCCACTTTTGTCTCCTGCCTTTTGCTTTTTTATTTTTCTGCTTAATTTAACAATCCTTTAAGCATATATAAAATCATTCTTGGCACAAGAGCGGTACAGAACCTAGCAGCCTCGGGCCATAGTTGGCTCCTCCTAGGCCATGACCCCCCCAGATCATCTGGCTCCTCAGTGAGGAGCACAGACTTGCAAGTGACTTGACTTGTCTGGTTGCAAAGCCTTATTTGAAGATCAGATCTCAGTCCCTTCCGCAGGAGGTAGGATGCACCCAAAGGTTTGTACAGGTCACAAATGCATGCCACGGCTGGCTGCAGGAAGAGAGAATAGGACAGGCGGAAGCTCAGGCCAGAGACCCAGAGGTTAAAGGCAACTTTTATCACTGAAATGATCATGTATGGAGCGTCAATTAAGTCTGACTTTGTAACTTAAACAGATTAGTAATATTCCTGAGAAGAAGAAAAATTTCTATTTTTTTATGCTTGTATCAAATTATCAAAAATAACATTAACAAGACCTAAAAATAAGTAACTGAAATTAGAGGCATCAGCCTCTAAGTTAATTTAATAGAAAACTCACAGAACTCAATGAATTTTTGGTTTTGGGGGGTGTCACACCTGGCTGTGCTCTGTGCTCAGGGTTCACACCTGGTGGGGCTCGTAACCATAGGTGGTGGTGCCAGGGATTGTACCAGGGTCATCATGTACCAGGCAAGTGCCTTAAACCCGGACTATCTGTCCAGCCCATCAGAAATTGTTCTAATAAAAGATCAAGTTTGCGCTATTTTATTTTCTCAGGGCAGCTATAGAATTTATAAGGTAAAAACAACTGAAGTTGATTAGATTTGCTAATAGAAAAAGATTCTAGAGATAGAATTTTTCGTTTTGAAATTAGGTTATCAAACTATTTTTCAGCCTCAGTTTTTCTAGTTATGTTCAGATATGTGCCATTTCATGTTCTCAGGAAGGCTTCTGTTTGCTCTTTCCTTTTTATAATCACAATGTGATTCCTTGGCAACTCTCCTTAATCCGGTTACTGCCTGGGCCAGAGATGTGGCTCAGTAACAGAGCACTCGCCTGTGCATGAGACACTGAGTCCAATCCCAACCCTCCCCACCCCTAGTAATTCCATTATTTATTAGTATTTCTCTAGTTCCTGTAGGGAAGGAGAGTTACTATACTAGGTGCTTAGGACAAAGGTAGATACGCCTACCTTCACACACTAAGGGTTAGAAGCGCATTACATATGAAAGCAGGACCATCACCGGAAGCAGCAACTTTTTTGTTGTTGGGGGTGGGATGCCTGGAGGCCCTTCCCTTGGAATCTCAATTCTCTGCCTGTCCTGCCTAGGACATGCTGCTGAGGCCAGTGGCGATGCTTGGGGGCTGAACCCCCCAGTGTCCTGGTGATCATTTGGTGCCAAGATCAAACTGAGTTCTGCTACATAAAGGCTTATTTTTATCCCTATGCTAGGACTCCAGCCTGAGAAGCAGAGGCTTTTATGGGTTCTAGGTATCAGTGTTGGGCATGCTTTGTTGAGAATGACTTAGAAAGATGGGTAGGATTTTACTTGGTAAAGAAAGGAATTCCACACAGAGGAAATTGTATGTGAAGAGATGGGAGAGCACAGAGCGTATAGGAGAAAGGCCAAGTGGAGATACTGGTGGGAAAAGGAGCATTAGAGCAAGAAATTGAGACTATACTGAATGATCTCCATCCCCATTTGGGAACTGAAACAATTGTTTAGGTAACAAAAAGCCATCATTAATGGTCCAAAGGTGTGGTGATTTCAAGATAGCTGTTAGGGGAAGGGGCTGTGCTGGTGAAGGACCCCTGGCTTGTACTAGTGGAGTGTGGAGGAGAGAACAGTTACTAGGAATTCTGGTGGTGAAGAGGAAGTTGCAGCGTTCAGGTTAGAAGAATGCTGAGACCTTTAAACTTACCAAGAAGCCAGAGAGTTAGTTAAGGCACTTGGCTTGCCCAGGATATATCCCTGAGCACAGCTGGGCATGGCCCCCAAAATAAAAACAATACGGTAACAACAAAATACAGGAACATGAAGAATTTGAAAAAGAAGGTGCTGAATTTATTTAGGGAGTGAATGCCAAAGCCAGGAGGAGAGTGATATGGGGAGGTCTTGCCAGGGAAGGGGAAAATGGCAGATTTCAGAATTGTGTGCAGGTGAACTCCAGTGGCATCACAGGGCAGGGTGGGGTCAAGACAAACTAAGAGGTGACTGGATGAATCTGTTTCCCCACCTGTACTCTAATCTCCCTACAGAACATCCAAGGGCAAGTGGAATACCTCCACGTCTAATGGGGTCGAAGAAAAAGAGACATGGGTGGAAGAAGAAGACTTGTTTAAAGTTCAGGGTAAGTGAGGAAAGTCTCTGTGGTCTCCCCTTAATTGCTAAAGTGTAGATGCGTGTTACTGTCCTTGCATGTTCTGGAAACTACTTGTCTACACTAGAAAAAGGGTTTTAGTCGGGGAAGGTTGGTTTTTCTGTAATACCTGGTGACGCTCAGGGATTACACTGCCAGAAGTAATTCCTGAGTATAGAGCCAGGAGTAATCCCAGAGCATCGCTAGGTGTACTGTTTCTTCAGCACCCAGAAAGTTTACTTTTCTCATTTTGACTCAGGCATAGTTTTATGTCCTTTCCCTCTAACCAATGTTGATCTTTTTCCTAAAGCTTGTTTTACATAGACATAAGTGGTCATAAGGGGTCAGAGACAGTACAGGGGTTAAGGCTTTTGTTTTATCCTATCCTATCTGGTCCCCCAAGGCCTGCTGATAGTAATCCCTAAACACAGAGCCAGGAGTGACCCCTGAGCACTGCCAGGTAGGGACTCCCCAAACAGAAGTGGCCAAGTTTCTGTTTTCTTAATATTTGTATATAATAGCTCCTAACACACAGTTTGCTTTCTTGCGGGGGGGAGGGGGGGAAGTTTGAGCCACATCTAGCAGCACAGTTGCTCTAAGGTGCCAGGGATCTAAAGTTGGGTCAGCTCAATGCCAGGCAGATATTCTCTGGCCCCAGGCTTTGTTTTCAGTGTTATATCCTGCATAGTCCTCAGGAGACCAAACAGTGCTAGGGATCAAACTCAGAGCTCCAGCATGCCTATCATATGCTACAGCATGCCTTTGAGTGATTTTTTCCATTTTGGGTCACACCCGGCAATGCACAGGGGTTACTCCTAGCTCTACACTCAGGAATTACTCCTGGCAGTGCTCAGGGAACCATATGGGATGCTGGGAATCGAACCCGGGTGGGCCGTGTGCAAGGCAAACGCCCTACGAGCTGTGCTATTGCTCCAGCCCCAGTGATCTTCTTAAGCCATATTTTATAGTCTAGCAGAGTGAGGTGCTAAATTTTAATTTTGGAAATTCAAAAATTTCCAATGATGTAGTACTGTAGCACTGTCCTCCCATTCATCGATTTGCTCGAGCGGGCACCAGTAACGTCTCTATTGAGACTTGTTGTTACTGTTTTTGGCATATAAAATACACCCCGGGGAGCTTGCCAGGCTCTGCTGTGCGGGTGGGATACTCTTGGTAGCTTGCCGAGCTCTCTGCGAGGGACGGAGGAATCGAACTGGGTCGGCCACGTGCAAGGCAAATGCCTATCCGCAGTACTGTTGTACCAGTACCAGCTCACACATATTTTTCCAATTCAAGATCTTGTCCTTAAAAAATGCATTCAGAGCTCAAAGGATAAAAAGAGCTCGAAGGATTGAACACCAAGTTTAATCCCCAACACTCCCAGGAGTGACTCCCTCCAAGAATCAAGCCACAATAAACCCGAACCTTGCTGGATGTTCAAAAACTTCCCTGAGGCTGGGGGTGTTAACTGGTGCCTTGAATGTGTGGCCCTGGGTCTGCCTTCTAGCACTGCTCAACATAAAACCCTTCACTGAAGAACAGCTAGAAAGAACAAGGTCCTAAAGAAAATAGGGGAGGTAACAGGAACACTCAACAAAAATGGCATTGTTTTTTAAACAACAGCATCTAAAAATTCTAGAAAACCTCCACTTTCAAGCAAGTCCAGATTTGTCAGCTTTAGAAGTCTGCTTCCCCTACAGTATGAAATATTTCATCTCATTTTATTTCTGATTTGGGGGTCACACCCCAGTGCCCAGATGTCACTCCTAGAGGTGCTGGGTGACCATGTGGCCATGGGGATTGAACCTGGGCCTCTAGCATGCAAAGCATGCTCTGTATCAGCTCAGCCGTCTGAGGTGTCCCTCTGGTCCAAATTCGTCTTTCGGGAGGAGTTGGGGGGATCTCACCCCGTGGCACTCAGGAATCATTCAGAGTGCTGCTCATTTGTAGGAGCATCTGTGTGCGGAGCGATAGCACAGCGGTAGGGCGTTCGCCTTACACGCGGCCAACATGGCCGACCCGAGTTCGATTCCTCCGCCCCTCTCGGAGAGCCCGGCAAGCTACCGAGAGTATTCGATATGCCAGACACAGTAACAACAAAGTCTCCAATGGAGACGTTACTGGGCCCGCTCGAGCAAATCGACGATCAACGGGAGGGCCTTTACCTTTTTACCTTTTATCTGTGTGCCAGGGATCAAATCAAAGTCTGTCGCATGCAAGGTAAGTGCATTAAGCCTTGTATTATCTCTCCAGCAGTACTTCAATTTAGAATAATATACTTGGGGCTGGAGAGGCATTACAGGGCTTAAGGTGCAAGGAACTTTCTCCTTTGTTTAGGAAACATTGGTGGGACTGGCTTGCTCAACCAGCCATTCCAACAAGTTTCATGTTCATACAACTTTGCCTTTTCTTGCAGCTTCGTCAGTGGCTCTCACTGGCTTGAAATAGTAAATTTTTAATTTTTATATTTGCCTGGAGCTCTCCAGCCCAAGTATTAGCAGGAGTGGCCTCTGAGTCACCTGGGGACTGCTCAGAGAGAAAAAAAAAAAAAAAAACAGACCAACCTTGGCTCCCTCATAGAGTGCCTGAAGTCTCCAGTTCATTCCCAGTACCACCCCAAATTGCAGATACTGATACAGTGTGACAACAGCAGAGGGAGGGGGGAAATTTAAAATATAAACAGGCTGCCAATATAGTAAAGCAGGTAGGGCACTTGCTTTGCACACAGCCAGCCTAGGTTCTGTCTCTAGTACCACATATGGTTCCTTGTCCCTTGACCACTGCTAGGAGTGATCCCTGATAACGGAGTCAGGAGTAAGCTGGTACTGTCCCAAGACAAACCAAAGAAACAGATTGGGGGAAAAACCCTATTTCGCTTGCTGCATGTTTTGAGGTCTGATCTGTTCATAGGGTGAAAAAAGATCACAGAAGAAAGTTTGTGCGCATCTCACATGGTCTGTAAGAATGAGAAGCAATTACTACCTTTCTTTTTAATGAATTAAACTATAATTTTGTATACATAATATATGAATATATGTGTGCACTTGTGTGTGAGTACAGATACATAATATCCTGTGGGTTTGTTTCGGGGCCTCACTTGGTAGTTCTCGGAGGCCACTCCTGGCTCTGTGCTCAGGGAACCTTTTGTAGTGCGGGGATTTGAACCAGGGCTTTGGCCACAGTTGCATATGAGGCACATGCCTTAACCTTTGCACTCTCTCTAGTCCCTACATTCAGGTTTTAAGTACCAGAGCTTCTCAATAATTTTATAGTTTTGCTGGATCTAGGGAGATAGCATTCTGAACTGGAGACCCCTAGTTTGATCCCCAGTACTACTGGTCCCATCAGCACCACAGCATGGCCCTAGTGGTCTCCAAAACAGCACATCACTGGTTTCAGCACTGAACTGGCAAATATAGTTGAGCTATGGATTGCTGGCAGTGGTTCCCAGCCCTCCTCCCAAAAATGTCTTTAAAAAATTAACAGGGAAAAGATGTTGGTTTTCAAAAAAAAACCACAAAATTCCCCACCACTAACCACCATATATGTAACATATGTTGTTTGCAAAGTGTGCTTTGTACCAACTGTCAGAGACTGAAATGAGTACTGTCTTGCAAAAGAAAGACAAAAAAGCAGTTCTTAGTAATACTTTCTTAAAATTTGTGAAATTTGAGTCATTTTTCCCTTTAGGAATATTCTGTCTTTTTCTTATGGTTTGTAAAGACAAAGGTGAACTCTGAAATGAGTCTATTTTTATTTTCTAGCAATACCAGATGAAGAAAATGCAAGTAGTGTAACAAAAAAACAGGTAATTTGAAATTCTCTTTTCTGATTGTGTGGGAAAAGAGTAAGGGTCTATATCTTATCATGTACCTAGCTGAAATAAAAATCATAATTTTTCAGATACCCAAACTAAAGTTACTCTTTGGAACAAAATCTAGTACAGAAACCCAACTCATTATGGACCAAGAACAATGAACACTGCATAACTTTTAATTTTAAAAGTATAAGTGATGATTGAGAATGAAATGGCAGGTCATTTAAAATTATGAATGTCCATTTCATGGTGTTACTGCTGTTTAAAAAAATCTGACCTTGGGTTTTTTTTTTTTGATAATATATTATCCTTGTAGGAGTCTTGACTACCTATACTATATGAAAAGATGAGTAAGTTGAGATGAGTAAGTTGTGATAAATCTTTTGGTTTTCTTTGCAGAAGTGGACTGTAGAAGAAAGTGAGTGGGTCAAGGCCGGAGTGCAGAAATACGGGGAAGGAAACTGGGCTGCCATTTCTAAAAATTATCCATTTGTTAACCGAACAGCTGTGATGATTAAGGATCGTTGGCGGACCATGAAAAGACTTGGCATGAACTGAAACCGGCTTTTATTTCTACAGAATTCACAGAATTCACAGGAGCATGGTTCCTAATAATAGTCCCTGGTAGTCTTATTTTTTTCAAAAGCTGGACTGGGGTAGGGTTTTCGGCATCCTCCTCCGACGTGGGGGAGGTCCCAGTTTCACTTCACTGTTGAAGATCATGGACCTGAGAAACAGCCAAGTCTGCCCATGTTCTTGGCATAGATGACAGGCACATAGCTTGTACAGTGCCAGAATATCTTTAGTATTTCCCTTCTTTAGTGGTTTGCTTGAATTTAAATCCCCAGTAACTAGTAGAACCTCCTAGGAAATGGTGGAGTCTGTCGAGAGCCATCATGATTCCATGATCTGTTCAAACCAGCAACACGAGCATTATTTGGAATGAATTTGTTCCAGGTAAAGCTTTGGCTCTTCTGATGCAAATGCAAAGGAACTTTGTCACAAAGCTGATGTGAGACCCAACCTGGTGGAGTCTGACTCCTTTAAAATCTGTTGAGCTAGTTGTGACTTCGGCATTGAAACTTGACTGCCTTGGCATCTGCTCTTCATATTTGCTGAGCTGTATAGGCAGCACTTCTCATGCGTGTGGGTTTTTTTTTTTCCTTTTTATTTTAGGTAAAATGGTGATTGTAGATATGCTTAGCCTCAACCCCATCTTCTTTTCCCAATTCCTTTCCTTATGCTGGACTTTTAAAGCTTAAAAAATCCTGATGGACTATAAATGCCTAATTTCATTCTTTGTGAAATGGTCGCTTCCGCCTGATTCCCTGATTGTGCTGTTAGTGTCTTGAACAGGAATCCGACATTCCCTTCTCCTTTTGTACTGTGCTGTGCTTATTGTCTTTCTGACGTACTTAAAGATGGTCTTTTTAGAAAAATTTCAGTAGCGTTTTCTGTAATCTTTTTTTAAAATACGGGAATTATTGTCCATAACGTGTAGCATTCTTCATTAAAGTCTTGCTTCTCTCAAACGTAAGTAGCTGTTTGATTGCAGCACAGCATGTATGAACAGATGGAGGTAGGAAAAGGCTGTAAGCCCTGTGCACAGCCTGGTGTGGCCCAAAAACCAAAAATGCAGGGGAAAGACACTGATGTCATCCAAAGTTAATTTTTGAACGTGCTAGTGCATGGACACAGGGGGGTCCATTTCTGCAGATAACATAGTTTGGGGCAGGGGGAGAATTTCTTCTTTAAATGAAAGGTAAGGATTAAAAAAAAAAGCTATAACTTAAAAATGCATCCTGTGATTTCTAGGTGTAAACTAAACACACCATTACTCCCTAATAACTACATGTTTAACAATTAGCCTGAACTGAAACTGCTAAGAAAGTGAGGGCTTATGGGGTTGAAGCGATAGCACAGCGGGGAGGGTGTTTGCTTTGCACGCAGCTGACCCAGCTTCAATTCCCAGCATTCCATATAGTCCCCTGAGCTACTGACAGGAGTAATTCCTGAGTGCAGAGCCAGGAGTAACCCCTGTGCATCGCCAGGTGTGACCCAAAAAGCCAAAAAAAAAAAAAGGGTTTAGTTTCCTTTGGATGCAGCCAAGAATCAACTAGTGGACTGTAATCTTTCAAGAGATTAGGTTTAAGTTAGGTTCTGGAAGCAGTTCTCCTTTGAACCCTGGTATCAGAAGATGGCCCTCTTTAAGCAGAAGGTCACTCAGATGCACTTAGGAAAGCAAAATATCCTAGGGGCTGAGCCTATGTCTCAAGTGGCAGAACATGTGTCCAGCATATCTGAAGTCCCAGTGCTACATGACCCTCCAAGTAACACTGGATACTGCCCCATAACCATTTTTTTTTTCCAAAAAAAAGAAATGTATACCATAATCAGTATTTTTCGAATTAGAGGACATCAAGTCTATTAACATGTTTTAACATACTGCTTTTAGTAGTAGTACTGAAATGTGCACAAACATAAAACTCTGCCTATTACTCCTAGAATCATAAAAATTACCTTGAACAGATGACTGTGTGCCGAAACTAAGTCAGTGCTCATGATAGTGGCTGCAGGGGGATGCAGGTGAGCAGGGTCACTAGTGTCTGTGCCACTGTGTGCTGAGAATCCTCTTTCCCACTTTCACTTTAGTAGAAGCCACTGTGATGAAGAGCTCCTGGTCTTCAGATTGCTATGATGTCACAGGCCTTTGTTGTCTAACTGGTCACAATTGTGATGTCTGTTCTTACTAGTGTTTAACTTAAAAGTATTACCATTTGGAGTTATGCCGAACCAGTATGCTGGGATCACCAGAGTTACACTGGGTGTCTGTGACACTGATCTTTTGATTTTTCTAAACTTAGTATTTGGGGGTGGACCACACTAGAGTGCTTGGGGAACCATAAGCAGTGCCAGAAACTGGCACTTGCAAGGCAACGCCTTAACCCCTGTACTACTTCTTCTGCCCCTGATGATTTGCTTTTTTAAGCTTATGACTGAAATAAGATTGTCAGAAAACAAGCTAACAAATTCTGACCTGGTGGGCAAGAAGGGAAGGGCAAGCCAGAGAGAAAGAAAGTGCAGGAGTTAAGGCATTAATTGCAGGCAATTGACCCCCGTTTGATCCCTGGAACCATATATGGTTTCTCAAGCACCATCAGGCATGATCCCTGAGCACAAAGCCAGGAGTAAGCCCTTAGCACTGCTGGAGGTGGCCCCCAAAACAAAATAAGGAATGTGAGGCCCAGTCTGCTCTCTCAGCTGTGCTTGTTGCCTTATGAACTAGCCACTGGAATCCCTGTCCATCTCATTGCTAATGCAGTAATGGCACCTCCTTTCAGGGGTAAGTGCTGGCCATGGAGTGAGTGGATGTTCAGTGAGCCCTTCTGTGGTGCTAAAAAAGTCATATTAAAAGAACGGTGGGCAGAAATGAGTACAGGGGTAAAGTGTTTGTCTTATATGAGGCTGACACTGGTTTGATCCCAGCCCCACAAATGGTCCTCTAGCAACAGCAGGTAGGACCCCAAAGCAAACAAAACATCGAATGTATGTATGAAGGCTAGAGTAAATGCTATGAAACATAAGCCTGGGTTCAAGCCCTAGCACATGGCCCCCTGAGTACCACTAGGAGTGATCCTGCATGCTGCTGGATGTGGCGCCTAAACAAACAAAGGCCAAAGAAAGATCAAAGTTGGAGTGGGGAGTTTTAAAAGCTAAAGATGGGAAGATGGCTCAGTAGCTTAAAGTATTTACGAAGCAAGGACTGGAGCAATGGCATAGTGGGTCAATAGCATAGTGGGTCGGGTGTTTGCCTTGCATGCGGCTAACCCAGTTTTGATAACCAGGAACCCAGACCTCTGAACCTTCTGGGAATGATCTCTGAGCACAGAGCCATGAGTAAGCCCAGAGCACCACTGGTGTGGCCCCAAATCAAAACAGAAGAGGATCTCTCAAGCAAGTATGCCACCTTGAGTTCAAATCCCAATGATGTGATCCTTACAATCCTGCCTGGCAGCTTGAAAAGCACTCAAGTGCAACTGTGAAGTGTGAGCTTGATCTCTGTTGCTGCTACCCAATGCACTAAAGCCAATCCTGGCAAATCCTGACAGCCCCACTGGTTAGGAGCTCTGCAAATTTTTCCCTTATAAAAGCACTGATTTATTTAGTGTCTTCTCCAATACATCACTTGATTACTTGACTTCCTGTTAATCATCAATTTGCTTGAGCAGGCGCCAGTAATGTGTCCATTTGTCCCTGTCGCGTGCTAGTGTAGCCCAATGGCATCTGTTCGTTCTAGGAACACAAAGAGCCTCAAACCAGTCGTTCAGAGTCTTGAAGAAGTCTGATGATCTGGTAGGTGGGCGGTCACACGATCTTTTGACGTCCCGTGGAGTGCAGTCAGTAACAGCTCTAGTCCAGCGGTCGTCTCCAAATCTCATTACTTGTCCAGCCCACATGATTTTCAATGCCTTGGCAAACAAGACAGCATCCCTGATTCTTGATCATCGATGGAGGTTGGAACTCCGGATTCTTTCTCTCATTTGAGTGAAACGTGATACTCCAAGCATAGCTCTTTCGATTCCTCTCTGGGAGACCCGAATAGTGTTCTCATCCTGTTTTCATAGGGCCCAGGTCTCTGAGGCGTATGTTAATGCAAGAACAGTGGAATCTAAGAGATGTGCCCGGAGCCAGAGGTTCTTTGTCCTCTTAGCTATTTTTTCGATGCTTTTGAAGGCATTCCAAGCCACTTTCTTCCTCCAGCGCAACTCAGGTGCCAGGTCGTTCGTCATGTTGACTTCTCGACCTAGGTACACATAACTGTTGCATTCGGAGATGGTCATTCCGTTGAGAGCAAATGGAGCATCAGGAACAAGGCTGTTTCTCATAAACATTGTCTTTGTGAGATTCAGCTGTAATCGGACTGCACATCAGAGCCTGGCAAGCTATCCATTGTGTATTCGATATGTCAAAACCAGTAATTACAATGGGTTTCGAATACATAGTCTCAATAGAACTAGTGGAGTGGGTGCCATATGGCTTGAAAATATACAGGTGAGGAACCTATGTGTGTAACTATATTTGAAATCTACAGATACTCCAATTCAGGGGTCTGGAGCAATAGCACAGCGGGTAGGGCGTTTGCCTTGCACACCGCCAACCTGACCAACCTGAGTTCAATTCCTCCGCTCCTCTTGGAGAGCCCGGCAAGTTACCGAAAGTATCTCACCCGCACGGCAAAGCCTGGCAAGCTACCCGTGACGTATTCGATATGCCAAACACAGTAACAGTGAGTCTCACAATTTGTTGTGAGATGTTACTGGTGTCCTCTTGAGCAAATCGATGAACGGGACGACAGTGCTACAGTGCTACTCCAAATCAGCAACACTAAAGACATCTCTGGGTGAGATCTAGATGAAGTCTCAATCCTAAAGGCAATGTCTGATTGGCTTAGGGTTTAAGGATACTTGAATGATGCCCAGGGCGTCTAAGTAGCACACAGTAAAGAGACCTGGGAAGCCACATGTCACTAATGCGGGCCTTAAGCTTATTTATCCTGTCACAGGCTTATTAAAAACAGGCTCTGTGGCAAGGCGGGAGAAATAGGTTGATGGTTTGAGTAACACCAAATGTGCTTTGAATTTTATCAGGTGGAAGGTAACCAAAGGAGGATTATCAGTGGGGAGGTATAGCCACTACTTTGCTCTTGGACTTGTGTGTGACACTCCCAGTGATGCTCAGGTATTACTCCTGGAGGTGCAGAGTGAACAATATGGGATGCTGGGGATTGAACCCAGGTTGGCCGCATGCAAGGCAAGTGTCGTATTGGTCCAGCCCTTCGTTTGGACTCTAACACACTTTCATAAAATGTTTTGTTGTGTAAGCTGCAGCACTGGGCAAAAAGGCAACTTCTGAGACAGATGCTGCCCATGTGTTTTACTAGGAGTAAAACAGTATCTTCCAGCAATTTGACATTAACAAGAGACTTTTTTTTGGGGGGGGGGTCACACCCGTCGATGCACAGGGGCTACTCCTGACTTTGCGCTCAGGAATTACTCCTGGTGGTGCTCAGGGAACCATATGGGATGCTGGGAATCGAACCTGGGTCATCTGCACGCAAGGTAAACGGCCCACTCACTGTACTATCGCTCCCCAACAAGAGACTCTTTCCCCTATCTTTGCCAGTTTATTTTTATTTTTTTCTGGGTCACACCCCACAATGCAGAGGGGTTACTCCTGGCTCGGCACTCAGGAATCACTCCTGCTGGTGCTCAGGGGACCATATGGGATGATGGGAATCAAACCCGGGTCGGCCGTGAGCAAGGCAAACGACCTACCTGCTGTGCTATCGCTCCAGCCCCTGCCAGTTTATTCTTATAGTGTTGTTACCCCTCAATTACTTTTGTTTTGGGGCTACTTTCTGTGCAGTTCTCAGGACTGTGAGCATGTTGGGAACATGAGATGTCAGGGATCTTATCTGGGGCAACTGCATGCAAAACATATGCTCCAGCCCTTTGAGCCATTTGGATTCTATCTAGCACCTGGAAGTTGTAGGTTTGGTAAGCCACTCGTGAGGGGAAAGCAAAAACTCTCCTAGTGAGCCCAGTCTAGGAGAGTCATGCCAGCTGTGACAGACTCTCTGCATCGTCAGCCTGCAGCTGGCCTGCATGGCCAGCCAAGTTAATGATTACCTTGTCGGGGCTGGTTCCACTGGGCCCCAGCAGTTCACCTGCACAATCTCCAGAAAGCAGCATGTTCTCTTTGCTCCTTGGAGCCATACTGGTGGTTCTGAACCCAGTGCCATTTGCTAGGAGCCAGAAGACAGAACCCCTGAGTGGCTCTGTGGACCAGCCACTCTCCCATGAAGCAGATCGGTATGACTTCGCCATCATGATCCCTCCAGGAGGCACAGAATGCTTTTGGCAATTCGCCCATCAGGCTGGATACTTCTATTTCAGTTATGAGGTGGGTACATGGGCACGCTGGGGAACTGGTTGTTTATTTCCCTTTGTAAAGTGGGTCAGATATTGAATGTAAAGCTCTGGATTGTCTTTTACTATACTGTGATTTTCCTCCTGCTAATAAATACTTGCAGTTAGATGGAAACTCTCAAATGTCAAAAATCACTGAAACATATGGTTTGGCTTTGCAAGCTGGGGTTGTTGGAAGTGTATTCACAGCCCGGGGGCCAGCCAGAGATGTGGCTCAGTGGGAGCATATACTTTAGGTATATATGGCACTGTATTCAACCCCCAGCTCCCCCCTATCCCTTACTGCCTATTGCCTCCCCCCAAAAGGCTATGGGACAAATACAGTACTCAGAGAGTAATAAAAAAATGTACTTGGTTTGAAGATGAGGGGAGGAAATACATGTACAAAACATTATGATATGGTAGAGGTGAATGATAAATCATGACTTTCGAGATAAACCCAGAGATTGCAAAGATGCTTCTATTGGTGTGGTTTTAAGGAGTGATATTGACCAGCTTGCTTTAGGGACATTTCTGGAAAGATAATGAATCACTGGCTCAAGGTTAAGTCAAAGTCCTGTTTCATTTTCTTTTCGACTTTTGGGCCATATCCAACTATGTTCAGGTACTACTCAAGGCTTTGTGCCCAGGGATCACTCCTGATGTTGTTCATGGAACCATATGGTGTCAGGGATCGAGACCTTAACCCCTGCATTCTCTCTCTGGCCCTGAGAGATGTTTCTTTCAGAACAGGTTAGCAATTACCAACTGGGGAAGTAGCTCAGAGGAAGAACACTGGCCTTTGCAGATGTGAAGTCCTGGGTTCAATCCCTGGCTCCCCCCAAAAAAGGAGTTAAGGCTGTTCATTTCTTTCTTAATTGTAAAAATTTGTGATTTTTTTGTTTAAATAGGAACAGACTATTGATCTGACTCTATTCCACTATAACTTACATTTTCAATTAGCTTATAAGAGCTTTTACTTATCTCTGAATTTTATTGGACAGTAGCTACTCGCAGCTCACTGTGACTTCAGCTCACCTAGACCCAGCTGGGAGACAGGCAGCTACTGAGGGACCCATTTACTTGTTGTCAAGCATCTTAAATAAGCCTAGGTCTATATTCCACAAGGATGATCAAAATAAAGCCAGTAAACTGTCAGAATCATAATAACCAATTCGTGCTCGTTGTACAGTCTTCTGAAAGGGGGCTACTGGCATTTGAGCAATATTGTCTCTACAAGGCAAGACGTTTGGCACAGTTCTTTCCCCACTCCCAACATCACCCAGGTCTGTTTGAATTCTGAGGGGTTTTGACCTCCCCAGCCCAGACTGAGAACCACCGTGCACGGGATGGCGCTTGCTAAGCTAGCTTCTTGACGTAGCAGCAGCTTTTCTCTCCCTTTAACATGTCTCGGCAGGTACAGCGAACACTGGGAATGTCACACGACCGGCATGTTACTGCCACCGCACATACGCCAAAGGGTTTCCTCATAGATACTTCTCAGAATGTTCGAGGCCAGATTAACTTTTCTACCCAAGAGACAGGTGTGTTTTTATCACCTACCTATTGGAACAGACATAATGTTTTTTTGAAATTGGGAGAAATAACGAGGAGGGACTAAAATTAATTGAGATGCAAAAGCCCTGTTATTCCTACATAGAGTTGATTGAAAAAAAATTGGGGGGCAGGGGATGTAACTCCAACATCAAAACCCACTGTTTCCCTTGCCCGGTGGCCCAGGTCATTAAGCAGCAACCCAAATGTAGCTAGGAGAGTCTCCAGGTGAATAATTCTTCTAAGCCCACGACCCAGACTTTCTGTCTCATCGTCTCCAAACATACCTGAGGCAGGACTAAGACAGACGCCCACCTACAATACAGACTTCTGACGAATGAATTTATTATTGGGGACCTTTTTTCCAGTCATCAAATACTCGAGCCAGTCACCAAAGGCAGACAAATGTGAACATACAATCATGTGAAACATACACACTCGACGACAAAGCACTTTCTCAGAAAACCCCCCAGCCCACAGTACTGGTCAGTCTAAGCAGCCCTCTGGGCAGGTGTAGGAAAAGGCGGTTTGTCCACAGCAGCATGAGACGCTGTGGGATGTTTAACATCCTTGGTCCCACTAGTGCCTCCAGTCTGGCAAATATATGTCACCCCGAATTCTTCCTCCCCGGTGGCCACCACTCCCACAGACAAGTAACCCCAGCTGACAACAGCAAAGGAGATATTCTGCAAACTACTAGTCCTGTACAGGTCACTCTGAAGGAAGTTCTTGGGGCACGACAGTTTCTCTCACTCAGTACAAAGCCTCCCCACTTCAATGTCAAGAACACTTCAACTTCTCTTGTATACCCACCTCTTATGAGCAAGCAACCATGCTCTTAATTTCAACTCAGTTTGCGTGGCAGAAGTTCCTCAGGAATCATAGGTTGGAAAACAGGGAGAAAACACTGCTTTCTATACCAGACAGGATGAATGTTATTTGGTAAAGAACAGAAGTTATATACCATATTTAGTGAAATAAATTTCATTATGAACAGTGCCTAACACACTAAACATGGAGGCTTTGTACTTCCTAAGAAAAGGTGTTGTAGAAGTAAACTTTAATTTTTTGTGCATGTGGGTGCTCAGGGGTCCCTTCCAGCAGGGCTCAGAGGACCATGTGATGCTGGGAACTGAACCCAGGTCTCCTGCATGCAAAGCATATTTAGCTATCTCTCTGGCATTTAGTGACACATTTAACACAGAGTAAGTATCTCTGAGGAAGTAATGAACAGCAATGCTGGAATGGTCCCTTCCTTTCACCTTCCCAGCACCAAGCTGGAAACAGCCTCTAATAGTGGGTTTGTTTCTGGGACATACTAGGAAGTTCTTAAGGACGATAATTGGGGGATCCTTGAGTGCCAGGGATTGAAATCAGAAAAAATGTGTATTCTATTCTTTAAGCAACCTCCCTAGCCCTACGGGATTTTAACTACTGGTCTTTGGAACAGTGACAACCCACAGAAATTTTCTGTTGGTTCACAGAAAACTTACTGTCACTTTAATGGTATGCCGGGGGGGGGGGGGGGCGGCGGCGGGGAATCACTTTATAATATTACCTTTAAAAGCAGGTGTGGGGTCAGAGAGATAGTATAAGGATTAAGACAACAATCCCTTGGGACCTAGAGCAACAATACAGCAGGGTAGGGCACACAGCTAACGGGTTGGATCCCAGCATTCCATACGGTCCCCCAAGTACCGCCAGGAGTGATTCCTGAGTGCAGAACCTGGAATAGCCCCTGAGCATTGCTAGGTATGACCCCAAAAAGCGCCCCCCCCAAAAAAAAAGAAAAAAAAAGAGTGGCCCCTGAGCACTGGTGGCCGTGACCCCCAAACAAAACAAAATGCACACTTTAGCCCCAGGGGTTCATCCCTGGCAATTTATGGTCACCTGAGCCACTGAAGGGAAGGCCCACTCCCCCCACTACAGGATCCCCAAAATATCAGATTATAGCCCTGAAGCCCCACTGAATGTTGCATGAAAGTCTCCCCCACCCCCATCCCCCCAAAATACACCAAACCACCCTGGGCTGTGGATGTGGCTCATCAGTAGAGCACTGCCTTGCATGCAGAAGGTCCAGGTTTGATATCTGATACTGCATGGTTTGCAGATTATTGCTGGAATGACCCCATCCCTCCACCTTCCCAGCATCAAGTTGGAAACAGCACCTAAGTTCTGCCAGGTGTGGCCCCAAAACAAAGCTAAAACAAACAAAAGCCTACATATTTTTTCTGCCTCGGCAGTCCATAAAATATTCCTGTTTTCACCTATTTCCATACAATTGTAAAAAGGCTGCAAATCACTTATCTGGAGGGTGGAAAGTCAACAAAGAGTGGGAGACCAAGATTTGGTGATGATCTCAGGATTTCTACAGGTTTTCATCAGCTTTGTTTAAGCAACCAGCAAAATCATTTTGGTTCTGTGCAAGTGTATCTCAACTTTGGAGTTTTCTATGAGGACATCGGGGTGGACCACAAACAGAATGAAAGGAAACAGCTGAACAATACTCTGGATGCAATTGAGGTAACTGCTTTGTGAGAGAACTGTGGAAAGGGATTTAAAATGGAGACAAGAGGGACCAGAGATAGTACGGTGGGTAAGGCATTTGCAGATGAGCCAGGTTCAATCCCAGTATGGATACCTAAGCCCCTACCAGAAGTATTCCCTTAGAGCAGAACCAGAAGTCAGCCCTGAACACTGCTCGGTATGGTCCTCCTTCCTCCCCCCCAAAAACGTCTGCAGTGGACTGGGGAGATAGCTCAAGGGGCTGGAGCGCATGCCTGTTTAGCACTGAATTTCCAATCTGATCCCCTCCTGCAATGAATGCACCTCCTACCCAGCAGCATGGAAGCCACAGTGCTGGGCCTGTGCCCACGAGTGCCCAGGGGCACTTCGCTCTTGTCATATCACACACAGAGAACAGATATCCAGAAGGAAAACGATGTGCTGAGGACTCAACAACAAACAGAAACACCCTGGAGGATCCACTACTTTGGGCACTGATGATTTTCATATAAAATTATTTCTTAAAAACCATAAAATAGGGGCTGGAGTGATAACATGCAGGAGGGCGTTTGCCTTGAACGCGGCTGACCCGGGTTCAATTCCCAGCATCCCATATGGTCCCCAGAGCACCGCCAGTAATTGCTCAGGGTTAATTTCTGAGTGCAGAGCCTGGAGTGACACCTGTGCATCGCTGGGTGTGACCCCAAATAAATACAAACCATAAAGTATAGGCCATTTTTTGAGTATACAGCAAAATTAGCATTCTGAACAAATATAACAGCCAACTTATTATGTATTATAAAATCAGACTACTCAACTTACAGATGACTTCAGAATCTAGCTAGGGCAATGGTTGGCCCATTTCCTTTGTTTTGAGGCCACACCCAAAACAATGCTAGGGATTACTCCTGATTCTGTACTCGGGGATCACTCCTTGTGGGCTTGGGGGACCAGATGGCATGCTAGAGATCCATCCTGGGTTGGCAACACGCAAGGCAAGCATCCTACTGCTATACTATCAATCCGGCCCCCTCCTTTCTTTCCCATGTATCACACAGGAGAGTACACGAAAGGTGCAAATGAATATTTTCCATATGTGGAGATACTACAATTTTGCCCGAATGAGGAAAATGGCTGATTTCTTCCTTCTTCAATCAAACTATAACTACGTGAACTGGTGGTCTACAGCCCAGAGCCTTGTCATTGTTCTTTCTGGGATCCTGCAACTGTATTTCTTGAAACGTCTCTTCAATGTCCCAACAACTACAGACACAGCAAAGCCGAGATGCTAAGGCAACTACAGCATCCTAACCCTTTTCTGCTTAGGGCAAAAAACCTTTGTTAAAATTTTGGTCACATCAACTTTGTAAAGTTCAATGGAAAATAGAAGTTTCTCTTGTAAGTTTAAGTTCATTGTCCTAGTTCTAATCCATCTAGAAAGATGAAACGGCAATAAATAGAAATATGCAAGTGTTGGTGCTGTTTTTGTCAAGCTGGGGATAGAACAAGGTCCTCATATGTGTAAAGCATGTGCTCTACCACTGAACTACACCCCCACCCCCTACTTTCCTTTAACCATGTGTGAAATGCCACCATCAAAATACTGTTCAGGGGTCAGGGACGTGCCTCAAAGGGCTGGAGAGTAAGCTTTTCATGCAGGAGTCCAGGGCTGGAGACCCAGAATGGCATGGTCACCTGAGCACTGAGCCAGAATTATCTCCTGAGTGTGGATCAAAAAACAGCAAAAATAAAAACTGTTACCCATTTGTTCAGCAGTCCCTTAACTTTCACTAATTAGAAAGTTTTAAAAGAAGGACCCCAATCCCACCAGCAATACCTCAAAGAAGAAGCAAATATCCTGCCGAGGTTCAATCTCTGTACCACAAAACCCCCAGAGCACCCTACGGAATAGCCCCGAACCAGGAGTGACCCCTGAGCAGCTTTCCCAGAGAAAAATTGGGTATAGCCCCCCAAAACCAAAAACTCTAGACTCTTAGAAGGTACAAGAGTTGTAAAAAATGGAATCAAAGATGTAAGACCCAGCTTTATATATTTCATTAAAAAAAAAAAAACTTGGTACATTTTGTACTTGAAACGTTTTTATTTTTTTGGTTTCTGGGCCACACCTGGCAGTGCTCAAGAGACCATAAGGGGTGCCAAGAATCAAATCCAGACTGGCTATGTACAAGGCCAAAGTCCAACTCACTGTACTGCCCCTATTACACTGCTAAAATCTATTTAGAAGAGACGGAGCAGGATGGAATAAGAAATTATTACTTCAGAGTCCCATTAGTCTTTTTGTCCTGTTAGAAAAAGTTCACAGAGGAATTATGTTATGGAAATCACAATAATGAAAATAACATCTTCCAATCACACCATTCAAAAAAGAATGCAAAAATGTTTGTAAAAGACAGTATAGTCAAATTGTATTAATAAGCTCCACTTAGCAAAAAATGTTGAAACACAATATATGCAATGTAAAAACAATTCTTACCATTTATTATTTGCCAGGCACTGTATTAAGTAATTTATAATCCTTTCTAAATTTAAAAACCTCTTAGGTAGGTGGTTAAAATGCCTTTGTTTCTTAAATACAAGCAAATAAAGCTTAAAAATGTAATGACTCATCAAGGGCCATAGACATGGTATGAGTTAGAACGAGTGTTTGAATCAAAGTTTTTCTTCCTTACCAAACAGCATCTACTATCCACAAAATTAGCAAAATAAAATTGATTTTAGACAGATTTCATTTTCAAAAACCCTAAATGTGACCTGCTATTCAGATATGGTGGTATCTTCCTTCCATAATGTTCATAAATAAGGGAGAAAATCCATTGTGTTCTGACGAGTTCAGAAAACACTTATCACAAACAACAATATTCTATTCTTGTCCTCATTCCCAACAATTTGAGACCTCTCATCAGAACAAGCAGTCCTCTGATTCAAACATGACACAGTACTCTATTTAGTGACAAATATAAAAATCTGAAACCCTGTTTATAAGTCATTTCAGCATAATAATGATAATCCGGCCTGTGTTCACCTGTAATAGAAAGAACATTTAAGCTAAAAAGTCCCTGAAGAGTTCACAGTGTCGACAACATTCAACACGATGGCGGAGCCCACACAGACACAGGAAACAAAGCTAGGCCCCTCCACACAGCCACAAGTCCTTGCGGTGTTTTCATTTTAAGTCAAAGTCTCTTCATGCCGTACATACTCCCCAATGTCTGCTTGATGGAATACCACAATCGCCATGGGGTCTACTTTTCTGCAGTCTTGTGTAGACTTTGCTGCCACCCCAAAACCCTGGGATTCAAAAGAAGAGACACTGATTCACACAAATCGTTCGATAACCAGGCATTGAGGGCTGGAATGCACAAAGATGCAGAGCTCTTATCTTCGAGAAATTCAAAACATGCTGAGAAAATTAAACCTCTCAAGTGCACAGACCGAAAACACCCCTTTCTTCAATAAAAATGAACGGATATTTTCTATGACAGTCTCCACTGTTACTCACCAAAGGGACGTCGGCCATAGAATACACCACGACTCCCTGATACTGAGAAGTATTTTCTGTGATTCGCCCCAAACCAGACTTCAACACATGGTTCCCGTACAGGAAGGACTGCTCGGCTCCAGGCTTGATCCACACTTTGTACTGTGCAAAAACAAGAAAAACCAAGGGAGATAAACATCCCAACAGGTATGACCCTGCAGGACCAACGACTCATTTGTGAAAATCCCTTTTCCCTTTTCTGACTTTTGGGCCGCCCCCAAAGATGCTCAGGGGCTACTCCTAGCATCTTTAAATCTTACTTAAATCACTTTAAGGGGGCTGGAGGAATAGCACAACTGGGGAGGGCGTTTGCCTTGCATGCAGACGACCCGGGTACGATTCCCAGCATCCCATATGGTCCCCAGAGCACCGCCAGGAGTGATTCCTGAGTGCATAAGCCCAGAGTAACACCTGTGCATCGCCGGGTGTGACCCAAAAAGATTAAAAATAAATAAATTAAATAAATAAAATCACTTTAAGGAACATCGAGAAAGAGGCCTGTAACTCTCAAATATTGCTCAGCCCTTGGCCAGAGCTGCCAAGAGATTCTTTCCTTATCTCTCTCTTCTTTTTTTTTTTTTTAAGAAAGGGTTTTGGAATCACACCTGGCAGTGCTCAGGGCTTACTCCTGGCGGGGTTCCGGGGGGCTCTATGCAGCGTCAGGGACTGAACCCGCGGTCAGCGGATGCAAAGGATTGTCTCTCCGGCCCCGGCCGAGGGGGGTGCATCCCTCCACACTCTGAGCAGCTAGTGGCCCCCTAGACGTTCCCCACCCGCCCCCGCCGCCCCCGCGAACCTTGGCGTAGGGGGCAAGGTAGTCCAGCGCCGTCACGTGCAGCCGGAACTTGCGGGTCTTCGTGAACTTCCCGAAGCAGGTGCCCAGGGACACCAGTTTGTCCCCTGAGATATTGGCGGCCAACTTCAGGATCTTCTCGCTACAGGGGGAAGGAAGTGGGGGGGAGCGGCTGCGGGCGGCTGGGGGTGGGGGGTGGGGTGGGAATCGCTGCAGCCCCGGGACGCGCCCCCGCCGGCACCTCCCCCCTCCCCCCGGCCCCGCCTCACCTCACGTAGTACACTCGGTCGTTGTGCAGCCTGAAGCAGTAGGTGCCGTCGGGCCTGTCGACCAGCAACTGAAGGTTCTCCCCGATGCTGAGGGCGGAGAGAGGCCCTGAGGCGGCGTCCGCGCCGCGCTCCCACCGCCGCTCCCCGCCGGCCCCCCTCGCCCCTCCGCCGCGCGGCGCGCTCTTACTATTTGGCGACTTTCTCGAACATGACACGGGTCTCCTCTTCAGTTAAAGGCCGCATTTTCCCGCTAGGTCGGCGCACCGGATCCTCGTGCCTCGCCGGCCGGAAGCGGAAGTCACCGCCAGCCGTTCCCTGGCAACCCAAAGCCGGCCTCTCTAGCCCGCTTCCGGTTCGCGTCGCCGGCGACCGGAAGGCCGGCAGAGACCGGAAGTTGTCCGGGTCGCTTCCGGGGGTGGGCGGGCCAGCTTGGGGCCGGCGCCCTCCCTAGGGTGGAGGTGTGACGCCGTGGCGGGAAGATGGCGACTGCGGCGAGCCTCCCGGCTTCGGCCACGGCCCTCGGGGAGGTGGAGGATGAGGGGCTCCTGGCGTCGCTGTTCCGCGACCGCTTCCCGGAGGCCCAGTGGCGGGAGAAGCCGGACGTGGGCCGCTACCTGCGGGAGCTGAGCGGCTCCGGGCTGGAGCGTCTGCGGCGCGAGCCCGAGCGCCTGGCAGAGGAGCGGGCGCAGCTGCTGCAGCAGACGCGCGATCTGGCCTTCGCCAACTACAAGACCTTCATCCGCGGCGCCGAGTGCACCGAGCGCATCCACCGCCTCTTCGGCGACGTGGAGGCGTCGCTCGGCCACTTGCTCGATCGCTTGCCCAGCTTCCAGCAGAGCTGCAGGTGCGACGGGCCCGGGCGCTTGAAGGGGCTTTGAAGAGCGGCCGTCGGCGGTGGTGGCGATAGCTAAGTCTTTGCATAGCTGTTCCCTCGATCCAGGCCCTCCGCCGTTTTGCTGATGCCAGTTCAACCTGGCGGTGGGCACTGCTGGCACCATTGGGTGTATGCGGAAGTTGAAGCACGGAGAGGTGTCAGGGCGCAGTTCGTGCCCGAGTCAGCATTGGAACCCAGCGCACGGCCCTTCCTCATTAAGGATGTTGTGAGGACCAGGGAGATGGTTCATGGGCCGCAGCATAAGCCTTGCACGCAGGAACCTTGGGATCACTCCCCAGAACCATATGCCCCCCATATGTGTAGCTGTGTGGTCCAAAGGAATTCTAATTAGGACTATTAAACAATAGTAGGAGTAAAGCATATATCAGATTCACGTATTCACCCTCTCCCAGCTCTAGCTTAATACGCATATTTATAAAATGACGCACAGGATAGGAACAGATCAGAACAGATCTCATCTGCTCCAACCAAAAGTTTCATTGATAGAAGTTAACAAGAATGGCTGAATAATAGCAATACTCCTACATTAAAATAAACAAAAATTTGAAAAATAAAAAAGCTGACAAGGAAACCAGCTCATGTGGAAGCAGCAAAAGTTAGCAAAAACTCCCTCATTCTGGCACCCAGTCTTTGGTGAAAGTTAAATCCCCTTTGAATCTTTGGAATTTGAAGTTTTGGTACCTGTCCATACTCCAGAATAGAAGATTTCATCTAGAAGGTCTCCATGGTTATGGAGAAGAAATGGAGACTTCTCCATAGGAGAAAGCTAAGGCCAAGGGAATTTGTAAGGTGGTGTGACTTCTAATAGTTGATGCTATTAAGAAAATAATGCAGATGATCATTATTAAAGGAACATTTGCTCTGTCAATCTCTATAGTGCTTTTCACAGATGATGCCATTTAAGCCTTGCAACATTATGAAATAGGTCCTATTACTGTATCACTAACAAGGAAATATTCAAAGAACCAAGGTACCTTTGCCACAACTAAAGTGGCAGATCAGGGTTCATTTGTGCCATTGTGGACAAGTTGCTGAACCCAGTCTGGGTTTTGTTTCCTAAAGAGTATTTACCTATAGGTGTAGGGTGAGGATTAAATCAGAGCAGTCATCCAGCCCAGGTCCTGGTAGGTGGTTGGGAACTGTAGCTAAGATCTGATTGTACAGCACAGTAAGGGAGCAATTCTGTCACTAGGAACTTTGTGAGAGAGGCTGAGGAGATCAGCTCCAGTCGCCGGATGAACACCCTGACGCTGAATCGACACATGGAGATCCTGGAGATCTTGGAGATTCCTCAGCTCATGGATACCTGTGTCCGCAACAGCTATTATGAAGAGGCCCTGGAGCTTGCAGCCTATGTCCACCGTCTGGAAAGGAAATACTCTTCCATCCCTGTCATCCAGGTAGCTAACCTGCCCAGAGAGAACTCGAATTTACTGAGTTCTCAGAATTCGTGGGGTTATTACTGACCACGTAGGTAGAAACCTTGAGAAAACTCTTTGCATGTTTCATATCAGTTTCTGCCAGCCAGTAGACTTAATATGAGATGTTCATTCATGCAGCTGATAAGCATTTCTTATGTGCAAGGCACTGACGGAGGTGCTGGGTACAGTATGAATAAGGGACACAGGCTTGGCTGTCATGAATGTAAGCCAGCAGTTGGCAAAGGAATGAACTGATAATAATCCTTTCAGATAGTGGTAAGTGCCTAAAGAAAATAGACTAGGGAATGGGGTCAAAAATTTGGGTGGGTTTCTCTAGGAAGGACAGTCAGGAAAGCCTTTCTGCAGAGATAACTGTTAGCCCGAGACCCAGATGATCAGAAACAAGAAAAGGCAAATCAGAAAGTGGGAAGAACAAATGCTGAGGGGTAAGGAAGGAGGAATTAGAGTTTTTCAGAACAACAAGGAGGGGACCAGAGAGACAGCACAGCAGATAAGATGCATGCCTTGCACATGTCTGCCTCAAGTTCAATCCTATATTTCATATGGTCCCAGAGCCCTCCGGTAGTTATCCTGATTGCAGAGCCAGGAATGAGTCCTGAGCACCTCTGTCTGTGGCCCCCAAACAACAAGAACTATAGAGATGGCCAGTGTGCTTGGATTATAGTGAGCTAGGGACTACACTGCATAGCAGGCGAGGCTGGCTTGAAGAGTCGTAATTATTTCGTTATAAAGGAGGATTTTGAGCTTTGAAGCACAGGTTCCCACGCAGATAAGTCGATCTTTGCTTGTGGACCTGTGAGCATCAGCTGTGGGTCACTTTGCTAGACTAGAAGAGTTGTGGGAATGTGGTCTTCAGGGCTCATGGAGTGGGTTCAGGGAGTTTTGCCCCCAGCCTGCAGTGTCTCAACCTCCTCTACCGTCAGGGCATTGTGACTGAGGTGCGCCAGTCCATGCAGCTGATGCTGAGCCAGCTGATCCAGCAGCTGAGGACCAACATTCAGCTCCCTGCCTGCCTCCGTGTCATTGGCTTCCTGCGGTGCATGGATGTCTTCACAGAGGCTGAGCTGAGAGTCAAGTTTCTTCAAGCCCGAGACGCTTGGCTCCGCTCCATCTTGACTGCCATCCCTAATGACGATCCCTACTTCCACATCACCAAAACCATCGAGGCTTGCCGTGTCCATCTGTTCGATATCATCACCCAGTACCGGGCCATCTTCTCAGATGAGGACCCACTGTTGCGCCCAGCCACGGGCGAGCATGTTGTGAATGAGAGTGCCATCTTCCACGGCTGGGTGCTGCAGAAAGTCTCCCAGTTCCTGCAGATGCTGGAGTCCGACCTGCACCGGGGGATCGGCGGTCGCCTAGACTCTCTCCTGGGCCAATGCATGTACTTTGGGCTATCCTTCAGCCGCGTTGGGGCTGATTTCCGTGGCCAGTTGGTTCCAGTTTTCCAGCGGGTGGCCATCAGCACTTTCCAGAAGGCAGTTCAGGAAGCTGTGGAGAAGTTTCAGGATGAAATGATCTCCTACACCCTCATCTCAGCTCCAGCCATCCTGGGCAGCTCTAACCTTCCTGCAGCTGTGCCAGTCACCCAGCCTGGGACCCTGCAGCCACCAATGGTTCTCTTAGACTTCCCACCCCTCGCCTGCTTCCTCAACAACATTCTGGTGGCCTTCAATGATCTGCGTCTCTGCTGCCCTGTGGCCCTAGCACAGGATGTGACTAGGGCCCTGGAGGATGCCCTTGCCAAGGTAAGTGTCTCCATCAGGGACCAGACCTTAGTAATGGACCAGTCCTTGTGAAGGTGATGTCGGCTCTCTGTGGAGAGGTGGAGTGTGGGCCACGAGGATAGCACAGGGGCCCTGTATGTGGCCAACCCAGCTTAATCCCAAGTAGTTGAATGATCCCTGAGTACAGAGCCAGGGGTAGTCCTTGACTTCAATCCAGGAGTAGTCCTTGACTTCAACCGATTATCCTCCACCCCAACTCTTTTATAACGGAGCTGGGGAGATGCTACAGAGGTTATAGTACTTGCTCTGGATGCAGCCCTCCCTTGGTTTAATCTCTAGCACGACCATTTGTGGCCCAAAAATATACAAAGAGTTAAGGTGTGGCTTTAGAGATTTTTCAGGTTGAGAAGCTCTGATTAGTTCCTCTTTGAGATCTAGAACAGTCTATGAAGTGGCACATCTATAGCAATGAATCACTAATGTATTGCTTTTCTACTGCTGCAAAACAAGCTCCCGCAGCTTGTTTATATAAACAGTTGTAACAGTTTATAAATGCAATTTTATTCTCTTCCAGTTTCTGTGGGCCTAGGAATCCAGGCACAGCACAGCTGAGTTCTCTATACAAAGCAGCCTAACTTTAGAGGTCACGGTGTGATATAATAACAGGGTTCAGACACGGTGCTGGGCTACCTGGGTTCAAGTCCCAGCTGTGCCACTTCTGGCCCTGTGACTTGCATTGTTTTCTGTTGGCTGTTACTTCCTTGGCTTCAGAGGTCTACAGGGTAGAAACATTTTATAATGTTGCCGCCTTTTCTTGGATCCAGTGTAGTTCAGTTGCATTCCAGTGGGGTCTAAACCGTGTCTACCCTGCACAATTTCAATATGCTCTTAAACTAGAACTAGAAACTACATCTGAACAAGGTGTATTTAAGTTAAATACATTAGCGAAATGATAGAACTGTGGAGAGGACCATTCATAGGAATTTTAAAAAGGTTATATATATGTACCTTTATTTTCCTCATGAAACTTGGGGGTGGCATGTTTTAACGGGCTCCTGGCACTGCATATAGATGGAGAGCAACTGACCCTGTGATTGACACCCCTGTCTCAGGTCACCAAAGTAATTCTGGCGTTCCATCGTGCTGAAGAGGCCGCCTTCAGCAGTGGGGAGCGAGAGCTCTTCGTCCAGTTCTGCACTGCTTTCCTGGAAGACCTTGTTCCTTATTTAAATCGCTGTCTCCAAGTCCTTTTTCCACCAGCTCAGATAGCACAGACATTGGGTAAGAGAAAGGAGAAAGGATTTTTAAAACTTTATTGGTATGATTTTCCTAGCGCACCATCCGTGTACAAAATGCATTGTTTAGAGAATGTGTGACCATTTACTCTAAATTCACAAATAGATTCTTCATAGCCACTATAGTCATTTCCCCAGCCGCACTGGGATGTCCTTCCTGGACGTTTATTCCAAAAGCACCACATCCTTGTAAGATTCCCTTTTATATGACACGTCCGCAGACATTGTTTGTAAAGGTTTTCCCAGCTTGCCTTTATTTCGCGTGCCCCGACTCGTGTGGCTCCGTCCCGCGCCCGGCGGCGCCTCTCAGTGTCGCCCCTCTCCCCGCCAGGCATCCCGCCCGCCCAGCTCTCCAGGTACGGGCACCTGGGCCACGTGGACGCCGGCGCCTTCCAGGAGCCGCTCGCCTTCCTGCTGCCGAAGAGAGAGCCGCTCCCGGGGCTGGACGACGAGGCGGTGGCCGAGCCCGGCGTGCCCGCTCCGGCCGCGGAGCCAGACCTCGCGCCCGAGGCCCCGATCCAAGCGGCCGCGGAGCCGGGGCCGGCGGACACCAGCGCGGACGGCCAGCAGGCGGCGGCCTGAGCGGTGCGTGCGGGGCCGGGCGGGCGGGCGGGGCGGCGCGTCCCGGGGCGGCGCGCGCATCCGCTTCCCGGCGTGCAGCGGGCCTGGACCGGGCGGCGGCGGCGGTGCCATGGGCCCGCTGGGCACGGGGCTGCGGCTGCTGCGGGCGCTGTGGGCGCTCGGCGGCGCCCGGGCCTGCAGCTCGGCGGCCGCGGCGGGCGGCCCCGTGGGCCCGGCGCGCCGGCGCTCCTACTGGCGCTACGTGCGGCGTCTGGTGCGGGGCGCGCCGGCGCCCCCGTACCCGCACGTGTGTCAGGTCGGAGACCCAGTGCTGCGGGCCGTGGCGGCCCCGGTGGAGCCCGCGCAGCTGGGGGGCCCCGAGCTGCAGCGGCTGGTGCAGCGGCTGGTGCAGGTGATGCGGCGGCGGCGCTGCGTGGGCCTGAGCGCGCCGCAGCTCGGGGTCCCGCTGCAGGTGCTGGCCCTGGAGCTGCCCGAGGAGCTCTGCCGCACCTGCGCGCCTCACCTGCGCGCCGCCCGCCAGATGGAGCCCTTCCCCCTGCGCGTGTTCGTCAACCCCAGCCTGCGGGTGCTGGACAGCCGCCTGGTCACCTTCCCGGAGGGCTGCGAGAGCGTGGCCGGCTTCCTGGCCTGCGTGCCCCGCTTCCAGGCCGTGCAGATAGCAGGTGCGGCGCGGCGGGGCCGAGGGCCGCTCCGCGGGCGGGAGAGCTCTGTCGGGCGCCAGTAATTCGGCGACCCCCGAGCCTGGGGCCGGAACAGGGCCCGCTGGGAGGTGGAGGGACGGACTGTGAGGGAGGACGGGGAGTGGACCTCCAGCGTCAGAGAGGCCACGGTACCCCATTTCCTGTTATCCCGCGGTAAACTGTGTTGGTGGGAAACGAAAGCGGAAGAGCTGGAGGGTTCAAATGAAAGCACTCGGGAAGATTTTCTCACCTTGGCTCCGGCAGGTAGCGCAGCACCCTCCTTGTGGAGCAGGGAACCCCTCCGGGGTCTCAAGGCAGCTTTTTTCGGAAGCCCGGGCTCCGGCTCATGATTCCTTGAGAATGGAGGTATTGGTACAACATTTCCTTATCCCGCTGTCTATCTCTTTGCAGGGCTGAACCCTCAGGGAGAGCAGGTGGTGTGGCAGGCCAGCGGGTGGGCAGCCCGCATCGTGCAGCACGAGATGGACCACTTACAGGGCTGCCTGTTCATTGACAAAATGGACACCAAGACGTTTACCAATGTCCACTGGATGGAGGTGAATGACTGAAGCTGCCCTGCAGCATCCAAGATGCCCATTACGGAGACAAACACTTGGCCTTTGAGTTGGGCCTGCATCAACTTGGCATCCACTTGGCTTTGACTGACAGAGAATGCTGGACAACCAAAGCAGGCCAAAGCGAACTGTTTGGAAAGATGTTAAGTATTTGCCCTGAAAGATTTTGAGCAAAATGCTGCCTTCAACTGGAGAAGAAAATACTTCACTACGGAGAGATTTCCTGATAATTGGGTAGAGATAAATGGAACGAGTCAACCACTTTCAGGACTGCAATAAGGGCTCCCTAAAGCCAAAATTTATTCCCCAGGTATCTAAAGACTGTTGAAAAATGCAGGCCAAGTTTGTGTGGCCATATTCACCAAGTTCAGACCTTCATTGGGCCTTGTGTGTATCTTACTGCAGGGCCTCTCTTGGCCCTAGGCATCACTTTGCTGATGGAAATAAAATGCAGGAGAGAATGGCCCACGCTCCTGGAAGGGCTTAATGACTCGTTAGTTTTTGGGGGGCACACCCAGAAGTGTTCAGGGCTTCTGGCTCAGGAACTCAAGTGCAGAGGACCAAACCTGGGCCTCCTGCATGTGAAGCATATACTCAGTAATTGGGCCAGTTCTCCAGCTTAATGCCAGTGAGTGCCACACACTGTAACAGGTTCATCTCCACGCTAGCCTCCGCCTTTTGGTTTCCACCTTTAGTAGATAGGGAAGAGTTTTCTGCTGGTATCTCTTGGGCATGGTACTTTGCTCATTCTTTGGGAGGAGACATGGAGCTGGGTAAGGGGAGGAACGATAATTAAAAACAATTTAGAAGCTTCTTCCTGTCACAGAAGCAGAAAGAAATTGTGCTTTCTGGTCACAACTCCTGATTTTGGAAAAATAAATTATCACCACACTGACCAGTGTCTAGTCATAAACTCCTATCAGAGGGGCCAGGCAACAGTGCTAAGGGCTGGAAGGGCTGCGCTGGGGACCCAGTGTTTGGGGAGAGGGCAAGTTCGATCCCTAGCACTGCATGGTCACTGGAGCAACCCGCAAGCACTGAGCCAATAGCCCCTGAGCACCATGGGTTGTGGCACAAAAACAAGATGCAGTCATAACTTGTTTTTTTAGTGTGGGGTATACCCGGTCTTCTTGGGGGCTACTCCCAGTTCAGGGATCACTCCTGGCATTCGACACCATGTGGTGCCAGGGATCAAGCGGAGCTTCCGGCATACAGAGCACTTGTCCAGCCCGTGAACTATCTCTTGGCCACTGTCAGAGCTTTATGCAGGGGTGAGTAAACATGTTTGGTTTTGTTTGAGGGTCCTCCCCAGAACACATGCTTTGTATGCAGGAAACCTGGGTTTCAATCCCTCGCACAGGTTGGTGAACAGCACTGAGGAGCAGCCCCAGAATAAATACCAATTAGGGACCAGGGTTCCTGACATGGTTCCCCCAGTGCTTCTCAAAGTTGCAAAGTGGAATGATCTGAACAGGTTTAACTGCACTGAGGACTGAACAGCATGCTCAGAATATTCTTTTTTCCTTTGGGGGGTTGCTCCCAGAGTTGCTCAGGGGTCCATGCATGCTGCAGATGGAGCCTGGCTTGCTCAGTGCTCCACTGAGCACTAGCCCTAAGAGATTCTGTACTGTGGGCGGAGAGGGTGGTGGGGGAATCATACCTGGTGCCTGATAATGAACTGGGGTCAGTGCAGGGTACAAGGCAAATGCCTCCCCCATTTCTCCAGCCCCTCAGATTATTCTGAAACAAGTCATGGTTGGTGTGACCCTCAACCATATTAGGAAGACTAGAAAGACATTAGAAATTTTCAAAGTTTTGCAGGTGATTCAAAGAGAGCAAGTACGAGCTTCTGCACCAACCAGGCCAATCCGGGGGGCCTTACAAGGCCATGCAAAAGCGAACAGGCTCTCTGCGTTAAGCTTGGAAAAGAAATAGGGCGCAGCATTACAGGGGTGAGTACAGACTGACTCCCTGGGGAAGTCTGTACAAAGCTCTTGTTTACCTAAAAACATGGATCCTTAGGAAAACTAGAATTCAATTAACAAGGTCCAGAAGCTTCTTCCAAGTTTCCTCCAAGGGTGCCCTTGTAAAGCAGACAAGTAGTGTATCTCGAGCATTTCGGTGTCCTGAGGCCTGGAATGCCAAGTGGACGCCAGAAAGCCTGTGCCTGCGCCACTTGTTTGCATGAGGTCACTGTTAAGGCCACACCCACAGAAGTTACTGGATTTGGCTAAGTAGCCCAAGACATTCCAGTCCAGAAAGAATACATTCTTACATTTCCAGTAAGGAAAACCTCTTCCATCCCAGGCAGACAGTATCCTGAACTGACAGAGGCCTCAGAAGTCCTCTCCCCAGCAAACGATATAGCAGGCAAATTTAGGAATGCTGGTGGGGAAGAGGTGGGCGTGGGAATTAGCTCTTAGGGAGACATGTCCCCGCATCCGTGGTTTAGATGGGGTTGCTGCAGCTCTGGATGACTGGCATCCATACACTGTCACTCGTCTTGAGAAGGATCCTTATGAATGGCAGGGCATCTGGGAAAGCCAAGGCGAAGCTGAAGAGAACACCACAGCAACCCCAAACTTTCTGTGAGCCCGTGAAGAAGCAGGCTTAAAGGTGGCAGGGTGCTGGATAACAGTATAGAAGGACAGCAAGTAGGGCACTGGTGTTGCATATGGCTGATCTGGGTCTGAACCACCACTGGGAGTCATTCCTGAGTACAAAGCCAGGAGTTCCCCTGAGCACCGGCCAGGGGTAACACCTGTGCATTGCCGGGTGTGACCCAAAAATCAAAAAAAAAAAAAAAAAAAAAAACCAAAGCCAGGAGTTATCCCCGAGCATCACTGGGTATGATCCCCCATCCCCACCGAAACAAAATGAAGGGCGGCAGACTCCCTCTAGCACTGAGAAGGGGCTGTGGGCCTAAGCCATCAGGAACTCTGGAGAGTTGGCTGGGCTCAATACCTGCTCCTAACCAGCTCTACGAAACAGCGCATGGTTAACCTGACCAAAGTAGTCGGTGCAGCGGCCGGAGTGCCCAGCTGCCATGTGCGGAAGAGAGAGAGGTGCTGGGACTGTCCGTGGTGGCCTGGCTGCTCGCTCGCAAGGCTGCCAGCTCCAGCCCGGGAGCGCCGAACTCGGTCAGGAGTCGGAATTCAAATGGCCACGGGGGATGGACAGGCACTGCGAAGGACACGTCGAGGCTCGCCCTCTCAGCAGGCAACCTCATGGGGACAGCGTGGCTAAGTCTCCTGAGAGCCAGGACCTGAACTCTTAGTGCCTGGCTAGGGGGGTAGGCCTGGCTGTGTGCTTGGTCCTGTACGGTGCTGGTGTTCAAACTCTGGGCTCCAGCATGCCAGGCGTATTCCAATCTGAGCCATCACCTCCATGTGATCATGTGATGGGTAAGGCACGTACAGGGGTAAAGCACCTTCCTGACATCGGCCAGCCCTGGTCTGATCCCTGGCACCCCCCAGGAGTAATCCCTGGTGGTCGGGTTCTAATTCCCTCCCTCCCTTCCAACCTCCCAATAATAAAATGTTGGCAGACAACTAAACGAAACAGCTGCCGACCAAGTCTGACCCACCAGCTCCAGCCTACAGTCTCAGATGTGGAGGCTGAGAGGAAGCAAGAACAGGTCCTTGAAGCACCCCCAGCCACGCTTCCTGAGGGCTCCCGCACTCGCCTGGGAGCAGGGTGGGAACAGTGGCTGGGGAGACTCCGTTCACGGCCAGCTCAGTGCAGAAGGCAGAGAGAGAGAAGCCGAGCGGCCTGCAGAAGGTCCCAATCAGAGGCGGAGGCCATCGCTCACAGGAAGAGGATTTATTAGCCCATTTCCAGGGCAGGGCCCCAGGAGCGGTGGTCGGATTCCGCGTTCTCACATTCTGAGGGAAGAAAAGGCAGGCGAGACCCGGCCCGGCTGCTCTCACACTCTGCTTCTGCCCTGCCGGCACCAGGTTTGACCTATAGGGAGGCCACAGCTGGGGCCACGGCGGAGGGTGCCAGCGGCCGGCCGGGCTGGGCGGCAGGGCCAGGCCTGCATCAGTCACTCCCGGGGCCGCACTTGGGGGAGGGGATGTGGCGGGGCCGGGCAAGCACCCCGCAGCACTGCGGCTCCCACCCCCTCGCGCCTCTGGGCCATTTCAACTTTATTTATAAACATGACGAAAATCCAAGCAGCATTAATTTAAGGGAACGTAAAAGGTTGAAAAAAGAAAAAGAAAGAAAAAAAACAAAACACAAAGGGGGCAGGGCAGGAGTTGGTGAGCATCCCGGAGAGGAGAGGACGCGTGGAAGGGCCAGTGTCCACGTGGGCCCCATGTGCTCACACGTGGGCCCGGGGCGACCTTCGTCTACTCCCCGCCGGCGGCCAGACGTCAGTGCGGCCACTGCGGGACTATGACAAGCCCTGGAGCCCTGGCTGGCCGCCGACATGGGGACTGACGTGGATTCATTCCAATCTCCCACCTTCACCATCACCCTCGTGGAAAGGATTTCTAACTCTCCTGGCCAAAGTCCTCTGAGAATTTCTTCACTTTCAGGAGATCATCGGCATTCACGGTGGGCCGGGTGGTGGCCAAGGACCGGAGCATGTCCGACTGCCGAGACACAAAGGCACTGCTGAGGCAGGAGCCGTGCACCCCGAACCCCATGCCACCAGGCTTCCGCCCTCCACCCCACCCTCAAAATCAGCTGGTCCACACAGTGGTGTACTGCCTTCTGTAGTGCTCACTGCTGTGCGCCCACCTCAGGTCTGGGGCAGGCACAGGCTGCAGGGCACAGTCCAGACAGACTCTGCTGGTTGACACTGAAGGCCCGTCCCTGAAGGACACTGCCAGCCCCATGGGCCCCCAGTCACCCAGGGCAGGGAAACTTATGTGCATTCCACGACCTGGCCCCAAGGCTCTGAGCTGTTCTCTGTCCCTGCTGGCTACTTACCATGCAGACCACAGGCTCTAAGAGTTTGTCACCAGGGACATCCATCCAGGTCATCTCGATGGCCCCTGGGTCCCCTGGCGAGCAAGGGGTCAGCAGGTCATCGATGGTCATGCCGGGGTTGGTACGGGAGGGGCCACACACCTGAAACCACACAGGTGTGTCGGCCATCGCCCCTGGGTGTGCGGGGACGGGACCTCGACTCTGAGGCCTGAGGAGAAGGTGCTGGCGGGCTGTGAACCCGGGCTGGGGTTCTGGGTCACCACCTGAGGAGGGAGGGGGCGCTGTCGAGACTCGGGCTGAGGTCAGAGTGGCTGCAAGTCTGATGGCAGAGGTTTGTGGTCAGCTGCTCCTGATTTTTCGGGCCACACTCAGCATGCTCGGGGCTTACTCCTGGCTCTGCACTCAGGGATACCTCCTGGTGGGGTCTGGGGGACCATACAGGTTGCCAGGGATCAAACCCAGGTTAGCTGTGCCCTCCCCGCTGTGCTAGATCCCCTGTTCGGCAACTGTTCTCCAGAAGGCGTGGGGCCCAAAGTGCCCTGCCACCACCCCTCAACTCCATATCAAATCTTCCTATGAAAGCAGTGACATAAGCAAGGTGTTTCTGGGGGCTGGAGAGGTGGCCCGAAGGTTACCGTGCAGTCTGTAGGCAGGAGCCTAGTTCAACCCACCCCGCCACACAACGTTCTGAGCACCACTTGGTGCGGCCCCAAACCAGACACCTTTTCCACCTGAAGGTTCTTCCCCTGGGAACAACAATCATCTCCAAGACTCCTTTCCCTCTCTCCCGCAGCTCCTGACTGGAACCCCACCCAGGCATGGCGCTCTAAGAAGCTCTAAGAAGGCCCTGTGTCTGCTCAGGAGCCACTCCCAGCTCTTTACGGGACTCGGGGGCTAGGGGCGCTCCTGGTGGTGAACCCGCACACAAGCAGCTCAGCCGGCAGCTCTGCCTCTCCCCTGCAGTTTGACCCAGAGCGCGGGGATCTGGGCTATAGCCAAGAATGTCTCTGCAGGGCCACAGTTTACTTGGCATGAGGCCGACCAGGGTTCAATCCCCAGCATCCTAAAGGGTCCCCTCAGCACCGCCAGGAGTAATTCCCGAGCACAGAGTCAGGAGTAACCTCTAAGCATTGCCAGGCATGACCCAAAGAACCAACCCCCCCCCGCCCAAAAAAAAAAAACAAAGAAGAATGTCTTTGTTGACAGGGCCCACAGAAGGTGCTGAACAAAGGACAAAGGGGAACTGTGCAGACAGGAGAACCGGGGCTCACTCTGCAACTGCAACTGCCTTTGGCTCCCAGAGAGGCTGCAGAACCTGCATCAGGAGCCAGCCAGAGAGCAGGGCAGCCCACTCACCTTCTTTAAAATTCTCTTTAAGTCTGATTCCGCATTGTTGCTGTTGTTCTATGGGGCCACACTGGCGGCGCTCAGGGATTACCATTCCACTCCTGGCTGTGCTCGGGGGACCATATGCAGTGCTGGGGATGGAACAAGGCTCCCTCGCCGCCCCCCTCACCTTTTTGAAGTGCGTAGCCGACTGCACTTTCCTGACGGGCTGCATGAGCGAGTCCCGCACAATGACGCTGATGTCGGCGCCCGAGTACCCTTCCGTCTTCCGGGCCAGCAGTTGGATGTTGGCTTCGGTGAGGTTGTGGGGGGTGCTCCCCAGGTGGAGCCGGAACATCTGGGCGCGGGCAGCTTCCTCGGGCAACGGGATATAAATCCGCTTTTCAAACCTAGAGAGCCAAGCGCAGGGCGGGCCCTGAGAGTGGATGACAATGGGCGTGGGGTCCCCCAGAAAAGGCTCCCCAGAGGGCTCTGCTCGTGGGCAGACACCGGGGGGGCCGAGAGAAAAGGGGCCAGGTTGCAGCACGGCAGTGGACGCGGCTGGAGAAGGGCCCAGCCCCCTGGGCAGGCTCACCTCCTCCTGATGGCAGAGTCCAGCACCCAGGGGATGTTGGTGGCACCAAGGACCAGAGTCCCATCGTTGTTATTCCCCACACCTGCAGGCACAGGGACACAGTGAGAGCCGGCGGGGCAGGACCTCGGCTCTAGAGTCCTCACGGGGAGTCGTCCCTGCGCCCCTTCGAGCCTGCCCGCCCTGGAAGGCCCCAGGAACCTGAGACAGAGTCCCCTTACTGACAGGACACTTGGGTCCGGCACAGCAAGAGACGAGGTTCCGGCCGGCTGCAGGCAGCATGTACCTTGCATCTGGACCAAGAATTCTGTCTTGATCCTCCGCGCCGCCTCGCTCTCGTTCTCGTTGCGGGAGCCGCAGAGGGAGTCCACCTCGTCGATGAAGATGATGGACGGCTTGTGCTGCCGAGCTAGCTCGAAGAGGTTCTTGACCAGTCTGTGAGGGAGACACGCAGGTGGATTCTGGACTCCACGTGCCAGGGGCCCCGCCACCCCGCTCCCCTGCCGGAAGAGGACAGTGACCAGGGCAGCACTGGAGCAAGAGGAAGAGCAAGCCTGGGTGTCAGCATCCGTGCCAGCTCTGCCACAATGTCACAGTGGGAGTCACTACAGGGTCCACACCTGGTACCCAGACATGGCCAGTCTGGTGCCCCCGGCCATGCTCTCCATGGCAGCGGGGACCTAAGCCTCACGCAGAGCCTGCGCCCTGACCCGGCCAAGTCCCCTCCTGGTAGTCACTGGCCTCGGTCAGTGTCCCACCCAGTGAGCTGACGTGCCAGCCGTATCCCTCCACAGCCTTTATAGAGGTGGCGGCTCCAGCTGGGGCCGACTCACTTCTCGCTCTCCCCCAGCCACTTGGACATCAGGTCCGAGGAGGACACGGAGAAGAATGTGGAGTTGTTGGCCTCTGTCGCCACTGCTTTGGCCAGGTAGGACTTCCCTGTGCCGGGGGGTCCAAAGAGCAGTATCCCACGCCATGGGGTCCGCTTGCCTGCGGGGGTAAAATAATGGGGGCAGTGACAGCAGGGGGCGTCAGTCCCGTCTCCCCACCCCCCGCCCCTGACCCCCACCACCCCGGGAGCCACAGAATGAGCACCTCGCCCAGAAGGTCGGCCACACCCGCCTCAGGGTCACACCCTGTGACACTGACAGCAGACTCCTGGCCCCGTGACCCCACTGACAGGGTCAGCCGAGGAGCATCGGCGCGTGCTGTGGCCAGGCCTCATCCTGCTCAAGGGGAGCCGCCCCCCAGCCTTCCCACGCTGGGCTCTCACCTGTGAACAGGTGTGGGAATTTGATGGGCAGGATGACAGCTTCTTTGAGGGCCTCCTTGGCCCCCTCCAGCCCGGCCACGTCATTCCACCGGATGTTGGGCTTCTCCATCACCACGGCTCCTGCGGGAGGCAGGCGGGGCCTGGACTCGGGATCCGATCACCACACCCGAGCGGACCCCCCGGGACCCTCACACGGCCCCTGCCATGGCTGTGGCCTCGGGTCTCTTACCCATCAGTTGTTCTTGCAACTTCTTTTTCTCCGGATTGTCCCCTTCGCTGTCACTATCGCTGCTGGGAAAGGAGGCAGAGATGAGGATGAGAAGCTGGAGCGGAGGGCAGGGAGGGACTCCTGGTCTCGGGCCCGTGTAGGTGCTCTCGTCTCTGGGTTAACCTTACCGGTGGGTTAGGGCCCTGTGGCCCTCTGCAGGGCAGGGGCACTTTGGCCAGACCCCGGGGCAGCCGGGCCAGCAGCAGACTCAGGCCGACAGTGAGAGGCTGAGATGCAGGAGGCGGGAAGCGCCACCAAAGTCTGTGGGAGCAGCGAAGGGCAAGGCCCTCACTGCCCTCCTGGGGTCCCTGGGATCCCATGGCAGGGGCTGGCCACCCCCGCTTCCTTGGGGCGTCTCTTTCACTCTGGGAATCCTCCCCACCCAGGGGCAAAGCCTCTTTCCCACTCCACGGGTCTCCTGCCCAGCCCTGGGTACCCGTGGACAAAGTCTTTGTGGGGGACTCGGGCATGGGGGGGCAGCACAGCCCCTGGGTGAGAGGTTACAGACGCTGGCTTGAAATTGGAAGGGGGGGGGGGGGCGGAAGGCAGGCTCCATTAAGGACCAGCTTGGCACCCTTGGCAGCCTCGGAATCTCCTAGTTTGTCTCCTCCTCTGGTGAGGGGAAGGTGAGTGTGAGGCCAGCAGCTGGCCCAGTCGGCACTCCCACATCTGCTCCTTCGAGCAACACTCGGGGGGAATGTGCCTCTCCACCTGAGGAGCCCGAGGACCTGGCAGTGGGGCACCAGGGTTGGGGGGCGGGGGCCCAAGGCCACAGCAAGCAAGTGGCGGGGCTGGGTTCTGCCCGAGCATCGGAGGCGTCCTTGGCTTATCCTGCCACACTGGCTCCCCGCCTTGCCCACGGGCGTCTTCGCAGCGCCAATAAGATAAGAAGTGTTCTGGAAAGTGCTGCAGGAAGGCAGCGGGTGGCACTGTCGAGACGCTGAGCGGAAACCCCAAAGGCAGGTGCCCAGGCGCTGGCGACAGGGCGGGAGGCAGACTCACCCCTTGCTCTCGCTCTGGTTCTCCTTGACCGGCTTCTTGCCATGCTTCTCTTTGCTCCGTAAATAATCCTTGAGCTTCTCGGCCCGGTCTAGGTACTGCATGCACTTGGCTCGGATGCTCTCCTTGGCCTTGTCACTGTGCGCCTCATCTGCAGACGGGGAACGGGAGAGGGCCAAGTCAGCCCCTGCCCCTCCTCCTCTCGGGGGCACGAGGCCCGGGCCCCGCGTGTGCGACTCACACTTGATCGCATGAAGGAAATACTCCACGGCATGCTGGTAGAGCCGGAGCGCCTCCTCGTAGTTCTTGGCTTTATCCTCTTCCGTGGCTTTCGTCACCAGATCAATGGCTTTCTGGAGAGGCAGAGCGAAGAGCTCAGAGCTTCTAGAGATGCTCAGAGCCCCGGGGGTCACGCGGCCTGGAGGATGCCGATGAGAGGCACGCCAGGCCCGAGAGGTGCCAGTCACAGAGCGCTATGCTGGCCTACTTCTCCAGCACCATCTGGAAAGGGCCTGAAAGGGAGCTCTGAGACAGCCACGTTACAACGGTGCAAAGCAGCCCCTGGCCCCAGCCTCTGGGCTGAGCCTGGCAACGTGGTGCCCATCGGAACACGGAAATGCCACCTGACTTGGAGGGCCAGTGGGAGTTGACCAGTGGAAAGTCTCCTTCCACCTGAGATTCCCAAGACAGACTTAGGGAGCTCTCGACGTCCTTCTAGTTGCCCAAGCCAGGGTCCCTGAAGCCAATTCCCTGCCACTGAGGCCAGGGCGCTGGTCACCATTATCGTAGCTCCCGAGAGACAAGGGCTGCCCTGGACCTATGCCCCGGAAAGTCCTCGGCACTCTGCAACGGATGGACCCTTCGCGAATGTCCCCTGAGGTCCGTCCGCTAGGCTGAACTGCTGCCCCTCAGGCAGCCCAACACCTGCCTTCAAGCCAGCTTTAGAAACGGGAGCTTGCCAGCTCCCAATGTGTTACCCCAATTTTCCCTCCTTGCACGGAGCCAGCCTGAGACCGGAAAGAGAAAAAGCCTCCCAACCGGTAGCTGGCAGGCCCCGGCCCTCTGCGCAGCCCTTTCTCAGGGGCAGGAAAAGACTCAGCTGGTTTTCCAAAGTGACCCAACTGAGGTAGGGGAGGCCAGACGGCAGGGCGGCGAGGAGGAAGGCCTGAGTGCAAGCCACTTTCTGCCAGTCTCCTGACCCCGCCCCTGCCCACTCCCGCCCCCCCCCCCCCCCCCCCCCCCGACAGCTCTTCAGAAGACCGGCAGGGGGTGCTCCTGTGCCTGCCCCTTCTCCTGTGGCTGCAGAACCAACACTCCTATTCTTGGACTTTCATTCCCTCTGCCTTCTAGTGTAGGTCCCCCTGTTTGAAAGATGGGGCCCGGAACAGCTATACCCCAGGCCAGCTTGGCACCCACATGGCAAAGCAGGGGCACCCCTCCCTCCTTCCAGACACTCAGAGCACCTTAGATCTTTCCGGCAACGTATAAAGTTTTTCACACCCAAGAAGCCTTCGTTTCAGCGGGAGAAGAATCGTTTTCTATTAACAAGAAGGTGAGGTGAGAAAGAAAACTGACAGCCCTAATGCATCTCTAGGAACGCATACGGGAAATGCTGAAGATGAAAAATAACAGAAACAACAAAAATACAAGAGCAAGGGGCCTGTGAGATGGCTCAAGGGTTGAGCACGATTCCTGCAAGCCAGAGACCCCAGTTCAATCCTCGGCACCGCTGATCCCCTGAACAGAACCAGGAGTAGCCTCCAAACACCTGAGTACAGGTCCCAGGAAACAAAGGAAAAAGGAGCATGGAAGATGTGGAACTTTTTCAAAACTTGCATCCAATACTTTAAGCATTGCTGGTCGTACAGTGGCAAGACTGAACTTGGCCTTTGGAGTTCCGGAGAAGGACTGGCTAACACAGAAGTGAACAAGCAAGGAAGGATATGTACCAATAACAGTTTCTTACAAACCTGGAAAAGTGAATTTTATGCTATTCTCTGTGCTAAGACAAGAACTTTCTTGGACTGGAGCCATAGCACAGCAGGTAGGGTGTTTGCCTTGCATGCGGCTGACCCAGATTCGATTCCCAGCATCCCATGTGGTCCCCCGAGCACCACCAGGAGTAATTCCTGAGTGCATGAGCCAGGAGTAACCCCTATGCAACGCCGGGTGTGACCCAAAAAGAAAAAAAATAAGAAAAGAACCTTCTTTCAGACATTTAAACATGCCAAAACCTACCCATTAAGTGAAAGGAGCCAGCTGCAAAGAAGCCTATCACCGGGATTCTGTTTCTCTTAAAGGCCCAGACCAGACAAACTCATGGGCACAGAAAGATTTTAAATTGGAGAGCTAGTATAGGAGGTAGGGCACTTGCCTGGCACACGGCAGGCCCAGGGTTGGATCCCCAGCATCCAACTTTGCACTCTGTGCACCATCAGAAGTAATTCCTAAGTGCAGAGTCAGGAGTAACCCCTGAGTATCACCGTGTGTGTCCCAAACAACAACAACAACGAAAGGAACCAACTTGTTGCCCATAGTTGAGTGGGATGGCAAGATGAGCAGGTGAGAGTTACAGGATGTGGGGTTTTTGCTTGGGGCGATGAGTGAAGACGGACTGGCAGAAAACTGCACAAATCTGAATAAAAACTGAATAAGGGGCTGGAGTGATAGCACAGTGGGGAGGACGTTTGCCTTGCATGTGGCCGACCCGGGTTCTATTCCCAGCATCCCATATGGTCCCCTGAGCACCGCCAGGAGTAATTCCTGAGTGTATGAGCCAGGAGTAACCCCTGTGCATTGCCGGGTGTGACCCAAAAAGCAAAAAAAAAAAAAAAAAAAAACCTGAATAAAAACAAAACTGAAGGCACTGAATTATATTTTAAATGGGAGGGCTGTATGGTGAGTGCTGGGGGACATGCAGAGTTGGGGATCAAACCTGGGCTTGCCACATTCAAAGCATGTGTACTAGTCCTTTGAGCTAGCTACCTAATACAAATATATAGCACACATATAATGTTTTTTTATTCCCTAAAAAGCATCAATTGTTTGGTCTGTTTTTTGAACCAAACCTGGCTGTGCTCAGGGATCACTCCTGCGTGCCTGGGAGGCCATAAGGGATGACAGGAATCGACCCGGGTCAGCTGATTCAGGGCAAGGTGCTTGGCCGCCTGCACTTTTTCTCGGGCCCCTCCTAAAGCATCTTTAACTAGTAGATCACACAGAAACCTGTACCAGCAGCTGGGATCTGCACGTCACATTTGCACATCTGGCTGATGTCAACAAGCCATAAGCTCTGCTGGTTCCACTGCATAGCTTTGGATTCCAGCTAATTCCTACCCCAGGACTCCCAATTTCTTCCAACCCCGTCTCTGATTTTTTTTTCCCACCTGGGGTAGGAATCTAAATGCACCTCACCTTTAGACCGCTTGAGACAAAACGCGCCTTCCTCCACGAAACCCCCCAGGTACTTTACCTTTCAACATTGAAAAGGTACTGACTTGGGCACGGACAACAGTGTCGAGCCACTGTCACACACACACAAAAAAGCTACAGAGAGCTGTTACCCCATTCCACGGCCAGGATCCCCGAGATTTCAAGACCAGGGGACCTGGCCCAAGGTCACATGCTCGCGAGCGGCGGAACCGAGACCCAAAACCCAGGTGTGCGGCCCGCGCGAGTCTGCGTCCCGGCAGGCAGCCCGGGCAGCACCTGCGGGAGGCTCGGTCCGGCATCCAGGCGGTGCCAGCCCTCGGCGGAGAGGGGCCCCGGGCCCCCCGGAGTCCCCGGAGCCCCCGAGCGCGGCCGCCGGCTGCAGCCCCCGGAGCCCGCGGACGCCGGGGCGGGCGGAGGCTGCCCGGGCGGAGGTCGCCGCCCGCCCGCCCGCCCGCCCGCAGGCCCCGCCGCGCTCCCTCGCGTCCGCCGGCCGGGCCGCGCCGCGCCGCGCCGAGCTACCTGGAGGGTTGACGTTGTCATTTCATCTCCTGGGTCCGTCCCCCAGCCCGCGGCGCTGCTGGCGGCCTCGCTCTCCGGCCCCGGGGAGCCGCGGTGCAGCGTCCGGCCGCGGGAACCCGGCGGGTCGCAGGCGGAGCCGAGGCGGAGGGCGAGCGAGGAGCGCGGCCCAGAGCGGTCGGGCGCCGCGAGCCGGGCGGCTGCCCCAGGCGGCGGCGGCGGGAACTGCAGGCGCGGCCACCGGCGGCCACCGGCCGGCCCGGATAGCTTGGCGGCGGGAGAAGGGCCGCGGCCGGGACCGGGGCCGGCGCCCGGGTCGTGTGCGAGCGGAAGAGGAAGACGGGGCCGGGAGGGGGCGGGGCCGCGGGTCGCGAGGCGGGGCGGGAGCCCGGGAGGGGGCGGGGCGGGGCCGAGCCGAGTGTGCGCCGGGGCAGGGGGCGTGCCGGGGTCGGCGGGACGCAGGGGCGGGGCCGGGCGGAAGTCCAGCGGGGCTGGGGCGGGACCGGAGTCGGGGCTGGGACCGCCACCTCCAGCCTCGGACTCCTGCTTAGAATAAAAGAGCGCCTAAGGACCCATTTACACAGTAAATCTGACTTCCCAGAAACAGCTTCCTGATGTGTTTTATTGGGGGCGTGGGCTGAGGAGTGGCTGCCTCCATCAGGCGATATTCAGGGGTCATTCCTGGCAGTGCTGCAGATTTGAACCCTTGTCGTGGTCACAGCTACATGCTTAGGCAAGTGCCTTAACCTTCACATGCTTAGGCAAGTGCCTTAAGCTTTGTACATTTTCTCTGAGCCCAGTTTCCGGATATTTAATAGGATATAGTAATAATGAATATCTACCTTTTCTGGCTGCGGGGGGAATGAATACAATCAATAGCTAATAAAGGGATCAGAGAGAGAGAGTGCGGGGATTGAGGCACTTGCCTTGCACACTGTTGACCCCAGTTTGATCCCTGACACCCGGTATGGTTCCCCAAGCCTCCAGGATGATCCCTAAGCACAGTCAGGAGTAAGTCTGAGTACAGAACAAGGAGCAAACCCCCACACAAATAATAAAATAAACAGTGTACCCACCCTGAGAACCCAACCCTAGATAATTATTAAGGAGACTGACTTTCTCCTTAGATGAGAGCTGGGTGTGACCTCCAAACAAAAAAATTAGGGGACATATTGAAGAACTCAGTAACCAATTTGAAGGAACTCCCATTGAACAAATCTAGAACAATTTTGTTCAAAATATATAAGCATGACTTAAACCTCACCAAAGAAACTGGGTTTCATGATTCTCTAGTATCAATCAACTAATCAATACATTGTGGCAGAGAGATGTGACAGTTCTTGCCTATGGTAGAAGGCCAACTTAATAAAGGCGGAACGGATAATAGTCACCCTTTGGCAGCCACCACAGTGGAATAGCTAACACAAGCAGGAGTGGTCCATGAATATTAAGGCTGGTTGGGAGAGGTTTGGTGAACTGGATATTGGCAAAATATTAGAATTTCTCCCTATAAAAATGTTAATGAAATATAACAGAAGGGATCGGGAATGTGACTCAACAGTACAGAACATATACAAAATATAATACCACTCAACGGGAAAAGATAAAATCTTGTGATCTGTGGCAACTTGGATGAAATTTGAGGCATTATGCTAAGTGACTTAGAAAGGAAAAAGACAAATACCAAATCATCACACTGATGTGTGTAAAAAAACAAAGCAAGAGATTGGATGAGTCCAGTGGAAACAAACTCTGAGATACAGCTTGAGGATGTGAAGGGGGTGGTGGTGTAGAGAGGTGGGGAGGAACTCTGAGATAGTGATGGCGGCATTATGGCACTCTGGTTATGAGCATGCTGTAGCAGTACTAAGTATAAAATAGTAATACTGGTACTATGACAATAAAAATAATAAGAAAAAAAACACACCTCACATACACGAGACCTGGATTTGACCCTCAGCACCACAAAATACATCGAGGAAAATAGTGGAGACACTGACTTGACCAGATGTTTTAAGTTGAACCCACCACATGATGGACTGGGTTGACATCATGGATCTCCTGATATGACAGTCTAGAAAGGCCATGGTATCTCTCCTGTTACTCCTGCCAAGAACACATGCCCAAGTTTGGTCCAGGTGATACTGGGTAGATTTAGAACAGTCATCCTCAGATAAAGACTGCTGCCCTTTTTATGGGAGGGGGTAATCAGGTCACACTTGGTGATGCTGAGCGCAAGTCTGGCCTTCGGGAGTCACTCCCTGCAGAGCTCATGAAATCATGCAGTTCTGGGGTCAGCCACTTGGAAGGCAGGAGCTCCTGGACTCCTGACAGCTCCACATCTGTCCTCTTGAGTAATTTGATCAATTTATTCCAGACTGAAGAAACTAGAAAGACATCAAAAGCACACACAATATGTAGTGCTTGAGAGATGCTATGGCAGAAAGGAAAGCATTGTTGGAATGATAGGTACCACAGGAACAGGGTCTCTGGATGGAGGGCAGTGTGGTACCAATGCTGATTTCTTGGTGGTAACACAGTACAGTTGAATACCAGGAGAGTGTCTTTGTGTTTGCAGGAGGAACACACTGGAAAAATAAAGGCTGATAGAGATTCATGTTAGAAAATGACAAGAGGGAAATGGAACAAATGTGGGAAAATGTTTATTGGGTAAAGGAGGTGTAGGAGCTTGCTTTGGTGTGAGGGCCACATATCAAGAGGTATCCAGAGTTCACTCCTGGTTCTGCGAAAGCTAAGGGATCACTCCTGGTGGTGCCCAGGGGACCATATGAAGTATAGGGGATCAAACCTGGGTCAGCCACATGCAAGGCAAGCACCTTATCCCCTGTACTATCTCTCCAGCTCCTATAGTGGTTTTTTTTTTAACTGTTCTGATTTTCTTGGGGAGGGAGTCACACCAATAGTGCTTGGGACTTACATCTGGCTCTGCACTCAGGGATCACTCCTGGCAGGTTGGAGGACCAAGTAGGGTATTGGGGGTAGAAGCTGGGTCAGCAGCATGAAAGGCAGTTGCCCTGTTTACTGTTCTACCTCTCCAGCCCCTAGCTGTTTCCCTGAGACTTTACTATAAGTGTAAAACAATTTTAACATTAAAAAAATTTTAAATAGGGAGAAGAGAGGGAGTAGGGTGCTGATCCTGCACTACAGCCAAACCAAGCTTCACTCCTGACACTCATATGGTCTCCTCAGCCCTGCCAAAAGTGATTTGTGAATGCAGATCCAAGAGTAAGCCCTAAGAATTTCCTGATGTGGCCCCAAAGGAAACAAAAATTTTTAAATATAGGAGCAGGAGTAATAGTACAGCCAAAGAGTACTTGCCTTGCATGCAGACAACCCAGGTTTGATTCCTGCACCCTAAGCCCCGCCAGGAGTGATTCCTGAGTCTGGAACCACGTGACCAACTTGGTATGGCTCCAAAACAAAAACAAATTAAAAATACGGTCTAAAAGCAATTTTTTATTTACAGTATAAAGGTTACAAAGGTATATATTTATACATATATAATACCCTTAAGCTACAAATGTCCATTGTAATATACAATGCAATATGTTGATGTGCAACTCAAGGGGAAGCATCGTCTATGCATTTATATTTATAGCGTACACATGAAGCTTGTCATCATTAAGAAAGCAGATACTGCCCTGTCTTATGCTGTGGGTTTTGATTTGGTGGTCGGGTGGTATAAGATTTGAGACAAATTTAAAACAATACTTAAGTCTTACTTGATACAGTGTTCTAAAAGGGAAAAAAACTCAATAACATTTATACTTTTAATTTATTTTAAAAGTACTAGTCCTTTTCTTTCATGCTTAACAAAAATAAAAGTTTTGTGGGATGTAACACATACAAGTGGGTATAACTGGAGCTTGCACAGATTAGCCAAAATAGACTTTAATAGGTAGTGGTTTGACACATTTTCTAAAACTGATACAAAATGAAATAGATTCTTTGGGTACCAAGGTCCTAGCATGAGGATCCCTCCAACAGATTGTAAACATAACACTGGAGACCTATGCGGGAGGGGAAAAAGAAAATCAAACTGGTTCTGTTTTTGGGTTACACCTGACTGTGCTCTGGGATTACTCTTGGCTCTGTGCTCAGGGATCACACCATATAGGGTACCAGGGATCGAACCAAGGTCATGTGTGTGCAAGGCAGGCATCTTAACTACTGCACTATCTTGCTGGCCTTTTAAACTGGTTCTTAATAGGGTGTATTTCTAATGCGTGAGGAATAATATTAAGATTGATGATTGTGCCAAACCCAGTTTATTAGTCTACAAAACAAAAAATAAAAAGCAGAACTGACACGAGCTTGAACAGGACTAAGACAGACAGACGTAGCGTCCTTCTTCCAGTCTACAAAGCACACACATACTGTGATGATACTTCAATAGTATATCAAATAATAACTAACCAATAGCGGGTTTAAAGCAAAGACCAAGGAACTGAAGGCATGGCATAATATATGCACATGATTTAAAGACATTCGAAATAAGGGGGCTAGAGATCAGGTGACGGCGTTCCATTGCCGTCCCACTACTGGTAGCTCAGGTATTTTCTAGATACATTGAAGGATCTTATCTGAAAATTTGGCCCTGGCGATAAATGGACAGCAATTTGGAAAGACAGGGACTAGTCCTCTATGAAAAAATGTGACATTTCAGTTCATCTCTTATTTTCTCTAGGTGTCTTTTAAAAGAATTTTAAAACTGAGTTTGAGTGCAAGAGCATTCTGAAATAAGAATTTTGCGAAGTTTACGATATCTTCATAAGAACAGGGAGGGTGGAAAAAATATCTTCATTTTGATCAACATTATGTGGAAAGTTTCTCTAGAAAGTGTTAAGGATTTTCAGCAAATGAGATGTCAAAGGGTGATAAGTGTGGAAATGAGTCAGCACAATTTTAAAATATAGGGTAGAATCCAGGGATGCCTTGCATGTGTATCACCCATGATTTGATCCCCATCACAAGAGAGAGGCGGGGTGTGTGTGTGTGTGTGTGTGTGTGTGTGTGTGTGTGTCTGAGAGAGAGAGAGAGCGCCAGTCTACCCCCCCCACCCCCACCCCCACCATCAAAACCATAAAAAGAGGGAATGAAATATACATTTTATTTTGCTGTTTATTGTTAAAAGAAACATTTCTTCTAAAAAAATTTCCTGTTGATCTACTTGGGCAACAGAATTTAACTTTTCTTGTTGTGATATATCTTACTAAGAATAGTCTATGCTACTCTCCTTCCCCAAATTAAAGTCTAATGCATTGGGAAAAGTTCAAGTATTTTCTATACAAAAATAATGACCTACTTCAAGGTGCTTGGAGTTTTTTCACGTTGGCATGGATCAAAGACTGAGCATCCTCTCAAACATTTTTCACTTTGTCAAATGAGCAGAACTGCAAATGTACTTTGGTTAATATATATATATATATATGCATATAAATAACTGCTTTATATATACATATGTGTATATATAAAGCAGTAAATCACATAATCACCCATACACAGAGAGGAGAGTATGATTGAGATATAGTGGATTATGTGGAACTCGAGGATAGGAACTTTCTTTTGAATTCATGCCAGTGAAGAACTGCACATTAACAAATGCTTATTAGATGAAAGAATCTACAAACCAATTCATCTTGCAGTTTGAAAATTTCTCTAGACACTCAAAGAAACTTTGTAACTCTTCATGAGACAATCATTCTGGAAGAGGTGATAAAACTGTCAGGTTCCAAGGACAGTTAAGTGCAGGGATTAGGAAGGACTTGGAGTACTACAACACTGAGTTAGGGAACGACAGTACAGCAGGGACAGCGCTTTCCTTGCATGTGCCCGACATAGGTTTACTCCCCAGCACTGCATTTGGTCCGATCCTACCAGGAGTGATCCCTGAGCACAGAGTCAAGAGTAAGTCCTGAGCGCTGCTGGGGGTAGCCGCCCTCCCCCCCCCCAAAAGAAAAACCGGAGTCAGGTAGTTAGAGGACTCAGAAGTTAGAAATCTAACAGGGTCTCACAATGTGAAGAATTTATAATTTCCTTCACTTTTCAACCCATCTATTCTGGAGGAATTCAAGAATTATAGTTCCCAGGTAATTATTTGTTGAATATCTACCTTAAGAGTCAAAAGTTATTGAAATTTCAAAAGGTAATTAGATAACAATTATTTGCAAAGAGCATATTTATGTAATCATCAGTGTAGATTTTTTTTTTTTTTTGTGAGGGAGGCTTAGACCATACCCGGCTCTGTGCTCTGGGGAAACAAACTGTGGTGCGGACTTGAGGCACTGTTGGCCACATGTAGGCAAGCAGCTCAGCACCCCTGCACTATGTCCCCGGTGCTTGATCTGTTTGTAAAACTTGAACATGCTTTGGCTCAGTTCCCTCAAGTGGGGAGGAAGAGTAGGAGGTAAGAGACTCAGTTCATCAGTTTTAAAACAAAAGAAGAATCTTGTTAAGACATTTTTGAGGGGCTGGAGCACATCCTTTTTTAAGGAGTCCCGGGTTCAGTTCCAGGGACCAAGGCAGCCCCCAGCACTGCCAGATGTGGTCCAAAAAGGGGAAAAAAATTTTTTTTGAGTTAGTACACAACCATTTTTCCTGCTAGCAGTTTAGTCAGTGCCAGAGACAATAAATCAGGTGCGTTCTATGTACCTATTTATTGTACCTTACTTACTTAACTTTAATTCTATCCTTTAGAGGGACGAACTTGTATCACTGATCTACCAGACATTTGTTAGAGAAAGGGTTTCAATTAAGCAGTCTATTACTAGCACAAAGTTCTTAGTATTACTATACCCTAGAAACAGCTATATTGCTTTAAAAAAACAAAACAAAACCAACAACCCATAATTCTGGTATAGAGCATAACTTTAAAACTACCATTACACATCTATGAAGTGTGTACACACTCAGAGAAAGTTACAGCTTTTAAAAAAGCAAACAGACTTGATGTCCATTTTCAAAGACAGTGTATAGAAAGTTAAAATAATTAAAGATTTCCAAGCAATTAAAACAGGGACAAAGAGAATAGGAGACAGCAATGCCTTTTGCTTTCTTTCATCCCAAGAAGGAAAGAGGCATGACTCTCTATTCCAACTGGACTGAGATTTCCCTACTCAAGGTAGACTATATTACCAGCTGGCACAAAATATTCCTGATAGAGAAATATAAAAAGAATGAATAGGAACTCATCAAATTCAATGGTTAATGCATAGGGGTTACTCCTGGTTCATGCACTCAGGAATTACTCCTGGCCATGCTCGGGGAACCATATGGGATGCTGGGAATTGAACCCGGGTCGGCCACGTGCAAGGCAAACGTCCTACCCGCTGTGCTATCACTCCAGCCCCACGTCGTCAAATTCAATGTAAAGTTCAAGAGAACACCAAATTTAGATATCTCCTTTCTTTACATGCATATTTGAATTTAACCAAAGCAATATGGTTTTACTTCTTCATTAGGAATGAAAAAAAGAAAAGACCTTTGGCTTTCTAACTTGTCATTGCATTTCATGGCGTCAATAATGAGTGGCAGGAAGAGAAAAATGTATGCTGGATATTTGGATAGTTTAAATACTATATACAATCAATAGCTTATAACCGGTGAAAGTATTAAGAACATAATTCAGCACAAGTGTCCAAGACTGAATACAAAAAAGGAGAGAAAAGTGCTTAAGTCTATATGTCTTCCCTGAAAGCTTCAAAAAATGTTTCTAAATCTTTAAGTAGGTAGGGCCTTTAATAGAATTTGCATAGCAGCTTACAAGATAATTTTGCATTAAAAATATGGAGAGATTCTTCCATGTTTTTGAAGACATACAAATATACCCACATGCACATAAGTTAAACAAGAAGATCTGGAGGTTTTCACAAAACCAGAAGAACCTATCATAACCTTTTCTGAAAATTGGTCACACTTTCATCCATCAAAACCATTCATAGTGAAACCTGTTTTGCTAGGAGGAGCATAATCTTGTCCAGATTCCACACAGCTTAAATTTTTTTTAGAATTAATTTTGGTTTCTTAGCTAAGTGCATAATCAGCTGAAAAAAGCTTTGTTACCTTTATGCTTAGGAGGAGAAAGATGAAAGTCTAATCATTTTTTGGTTAGAGATTTTCCCACTTATATAAAAATAAAAGGAATAAATAATTCAATCTCTCCTGCCATGCAATAATTTTTAGTAACAAAATATGTGCGAGCATAGATGATATAAACAGGCACTAGAGACTTTACCTAGCCTAAAAAGTGCTAAATAAAACATGGCTTTAAAATAGGTGAATGGCATTTAAAGTAATGTTTTTGATTGCCTGAACATGCCCCAGTCTTTAACCTGAAACTCTGTCTACTAAGTAGGTGAGTTTACAGTTAGAAATACTTAATAAATACTGTATTAACACACATTAATGCATTTCTTCATATATGATATTAGATATTAATTTCCAGGTAAGGTCCATCTGATGACTTTAGGAAAGAACTTTGCTTTTTACAAAAGGAATAAGTGACTCTCTTTCTTCTGTTCTTTTCCTCCCTTTGGGGGAACACAGGGTGGAAACAATAAGGGAAAAGTTTTAGGAAACGAGGAGGAAGAATTATCACACACCACTGGGCTGCTTCAGAAGTCTGTGTGGGAAACGGAGAAGTGAAGCCCGGCCTCAGGTACAGGAAATGGCCCAACAGAACAAGGGGGACACTACTCTGCATTTTCCTTTCCATTTCCTTTCTGCATTGTCCTTTCCATTCTACAAGTGGATGCCCAACTAATACTAAATGAAAAAGAAAAGTTAGCTGTCCTATAAAAGATGTGAAATATAAAAAAGGCCTGTTTTAGTTATTTGAAAATAATTTGCCATAACTGGAATCTAAATATAAAATACTAAATTTAGCAAGGCTGTCCCATTCACGAGAAGTACTCAGTTGTGATTTGAAAATCCCACAAACTGATTTCTTTAAAGAACAACCTGGTTATCCATGTTGAACAATTGTTGAAGTTGTCAAACAAGTAGCTTAAAGGCTATTGCTCTTGGGGTGCTAGTGGTTAAAGGAATCCACTGAACACTGTCACTTCACATTATGACTCAAAAGATATTAAGAACCCCAGAGACCTTAGTGCTACACAGGACAATTAAAGCTTGAGTAAAGTGAGCCCAGATGCCCACATGCCTTCCTTCTACTGCCCATAACAGAACCACAACTTGGTTTTGCTGCTGTTTTTAAACAGATCCTTTTCACGTAACTTATGAGCAGTCTCAGAAGTTCCTCCTGAAAAGTTTTCTGAGTACCTTAATCTTTCGCACTAACACAGAAATCCTCGGACAAATGGCTTCGCTACAAATTCTGTGATTCACCATTACACTTCTCAGATTAATAAGAGTTCAGTGCAAAGTGTCTGAATATTCTTATCCAAGAGCATTACATATAGAAATTCTGCTATTATTTTTTTAATATTCAAGCTATTTTTGTTTCTTCCCTGACTTACAATGGAACAAAATTTAGGTTGACTAATTCAAACTATAAAAAGCTCCTGAATCTGGATTTCAACTTCCAGTTTTAAGTGGAGTGATCATTTTAGAGATTGGAGCTGGTGGGAGGTGGGGGTCGGTGGGAGAACAGACTTCTCCCTGGAGACTCTTCACATGGGTAATCTCACCATACACAACACGGATGAAGCGGACTGACCTTGAGCAGAGGAACTACAATGGGGTTCTAAACCTAGTTAGAATGTGCTTGCTCAGGTGTCTGCTCTTTTCTAAGGCCCACCGCGAGTGCACCTGTAATACACTCAAACCAAACACTTCTGCATGAATAGACGGTTATATGCCCCTACCCTCTCTGGAGTGCCATTCTCGTCTGCCTTTTTTTTTCTGGGGGAGGGGGACACAACACCCAGAGATGCTCAGGGGTTATTCCTGGCTCTGCACTCAGGAATCACTCCTGCTGCTGCTCAGGGGACTGTGTGGGATGCCAGGGATCAAATCCACTTTGGTTGCATGCAAGGCTCTGCCCGCTCAGGCCCCTTTCTTCTGCCCTTCTTGGGGTTCACATTCTCTTATGACACTCCTGACAAGCCTAGTAAAATATATCCATTCCTTTCTTCAGAGAGTGGAGAAATCCAAGTCAACTGTCCTTCTTCGTTCAGATCTGAGGGTTGTGCTAATCTTGATATTTTATACAGCTCCAAATGTCTTCAGTCATATAACTTCCTTCGAAAGTAGGAAAATAAGTTGAGCGTGATTCTCCAATACCACAAAACCAGCACTCTAACTGCTAAAGTCCTAATGATGTCAGCTGGCAATGCGTAGCAAAACCCTGTGGTCCCTTCACCCTGCCCACTGTAGGGTACATTACTAAGGAAAAAATGCCAAGACTTATATTAGCTGATGCTTGTCCATTACACACTGCCGCCACAAAGGTGATGGGCCAGGGCCAGGATTGTGTCCAATAAACTCAACATGATGCTTTTGTTGAAGAGATAGCTTCATCACAAGTCTACTCTAGAGCAAGCTGGCTCTCTAGGATTTACTTCCCTCAAAGAGATAGCTGAGGGAGCTTAGCTTGTAGACTATTCTTCAAAATCAGGATAAATCATCTCCCTGGAATGGCAGTGACATCCAGTTATTCCAACAGTGACTAACAAAGCTCCACTAACCCTAACCAAAGGCACAATTGGTAAGCAATAAAAATGGCTTGGGCTAAAATGAGGATTTTCTTTAAAGTAAGTCTTCTAACATTCCCTGGCTCTTAACAAGATAAAGTCAGAAAGCCCACAAACAAAACTTTTCTTTCAAAGTCGTGGTTTACAAATTGTTTTTCAACTTGGTCACCACTAAGAAGGGAGTGGAAGGCAAGGCAAATCACACTACGCAACTTTTAAGTCCTAAAACTTTTAAGTCCTTAGCACTTATGAGTGGCCGAGCTTGAGGCGTGGTGGGCAGCGATGGCAGGCAGGATGGGAGTATGCTTTGGTGAGACCATTCAAAGACTTCTCCAGCGGGGAGGAGCAAGTGAGGACCATAAATTCCAATAGAATGTTGGTCCTATCTGGAATGACCAAGAAGCACGGGCGGCTGTGAACTAGCACCAGAGAACAGTTACCCAAAGCAGAAGTTCAAAGTTAAGCCTGAAACAAATTCTACAGGAAGAATAAAAGAAAACTCTTGAATATTTGGTTATATCCCAAAAGAAAAGCAATGAGCCACCCTTCTCAATAGAAGAAATACACCTAATTGCTCATAAACCACTTGAGGAAACTATGCAATGAATCAAAAGCTTCATTTTGGAGCTTCTTACAGCCCTATAGTGTGGCTGGCTCTTCCTTAAACACGTTCATGGTTCAGCAGTGGTTTGCGGGTCCTTGTCAAGGCACTGTGCTAGAGGAGAGATCAAAGAGATTTCTTTTTGTGCTTTTTTTCCTTTTCCTTTTTTTTTTGAGGTGGAAAAACTTTTGAGACATTCAAGGCTCTTTTCTGATTCTTTGATGCTCATACAAGCAGTCCCATGCGAGTGACTTTGGCTGATAGGAACGTATGCAGCACAAATACAATTGGCTTTGGACAAGAGTGCAGGTCCATGGTCTGTGGAGAAAGGACATTAATTATCACTATTATATACAAATACTTTAATAAACAACATTCAAAATAAGTGTGAATGCGATATTCCACCTTTTTTGTATGTTTGTATTTGGGCCACCTGGGAGGTGCAGGGGATTAAACTCAGGGCTCCGGCAAAGCACACAGCTAGCCTATTGAGCTATTTCTCTAGTCCCAATACTTCACTTTTTTTTTTTTTTGCTTATTTACTTTGTGTGTGTTTGGGGGCTATAGCCAGAAGTTCCTAAAGATTATTCCTGGCTTTGTGCTTGGTGGACCCAATGCAATGCCATGGATTGAATCCAGGCCTCCCACGGCAAAGTCTGTACTTAGCCACTGAGCAAGCTCTCCAGCCATGACATTCCCTTTTTTGGGGGTGGGGGGAGGAGTGTCACATCTAACTGTGCTAAATGATCACTCCTGCAGTGCTTAGGGAAACGAACATATACATTTGGTCTATATCCTATCTATAGGCCTGCCCTATAGGTAGGATTTTTTTTTTCTTTTTGGGTCACACACAGCTCTGCTCAGGAATTACTCTTGGCAGTGCTCAGGGGACTATATGGGATGCCGGGGATTGAACCTAGATTGCAGTGTGCAAGGCAAACACCCTAACCACTACTTCGGCCCAGCATCACTAACATTTCAATCTTTTGAAAAGTACTGCTCTAGGGCCTATCCTTTAGTTCCTTAAAGCCACTTTTTTGTTGTTTGTTTGTTTGTTTGAGGGCCATAGCTGGTAGCATTAAATGCTTACTCCTGGCTCTTAGCTCAGAGATAACTCCTGCTAGGGCTCGGGTTACCATATGTGGTACTGGGGACTGACCCCAGGCTGGCCTCATGCCTCATACTATCACTCTGGCTCCTGGATATAAGAATTCATGTAAACTAGATCTGAGCTAAACCAAAACAGGCATAGGTGGGAGGGGTTGTGGGGCGAAACCTGAAGGTTTGGGCCACACCAGACTATGCTCAGGGCACATTTCTGATTTACTCCTGATTAGGCTGAAGAGACCATATGCGGTGCCAGGCATCGAACCCAGGTCAGCCAAGTGCAAGGCAGGTGCTCTACTGGGGCACCTGAACTAAAGGCTGATGAGAGAAAAGAGGAAAATGAATGATCAGAGAAAAGGCATTACTTTACCCTATTATCATAGTTTATGAATTTGGCTGGGCTGGAGCGATAGCACAGTGGGTAGGGGGTTTGCCTTGCACGCAGCCAACATGGCTGACCCTCCGCCCCTCTCCGAGAGCCCGGCAAGCTACTGAGAGTATCTCGCCCGCACGGCAAAGCCTGGTAAGCTCCCCGTGACGTATTCTATATGCCAAACACAGTAACAAGTCTCACAATGTTACTGGGCCCGCTCAACCAAATTGATGAACAATGGGAGGACTGTGACCGTGATGAATTTGGCTATATACTCAACACACTTCTCTAGTTTTCTATGAGAAAATAATAAATTTCATAATATTTCCTTCAAATTACAAGGTCAAAAGGAAAAAAAGATGGCTTTGTAGATGTCTCTTAATTTTTTCCCCCTTACAAAAAGTTCTGTAGCAAGCAAAACATTCTTGGTTTGACTTTCATTCCAACAAACTTTTTTTTAATGTAGGAATATTGCTATTTATTCAGCCATTGATTGACTGATTGAATTGCATCCCAACAAACTTCTAATGACAATGAAAATAATTTTTTCTTTATAACATTTGAAACTTTTCTTTATTATTGTTGGCTACTTTTTTTGAGGGGGACCACACCCAGCCAAGTTCAGTGGTTGTTCTCAGCTTGGTAACTGGGGATAGGAGGGGCCATGTAATGCTTAAAACTGAACACAGGTCTCTGCTTGCAAAGAATATGCTCCAGTTCTTTGAGTTATCTCTCCAGTTCTAAAACACTTATTTTAAAAAGAAATGATTTCAGGGGCTGGAGTGATAGCACAGTGGGTAGGGTGTTTGCCTTGCATATGGCCGACCCAGGTTCGATTCCCAGCATCTCATATGGGCCCCTGAGCACCGCCAGGGATAATTCCTGAGTGCAGAGCCAGGAGTGACCCCCTGTGCATCGCCGGGTATGACCAAAAAAACAAAAAACAAAAAGCAAAAAAAAAAAAAAAAAAGAAATTATTTCAGGCTGGAGCAATAGTACAGCGGGTAAAGACCTTGTGTTGCATGCGGCTTACCCAGGTGCAATCCCCGGCACCCCAAAAGGTCCCCTGAGCCCTGCCATGGGTGATCCCTGAGCACAGAGCCAGGCATCAGCCCTGAGCAACCACTTGTATTGTCTAAAAATAAAAAAATAAAAAAATAATAAAAAAGAATGATTTTCTACTGTACAGAAAAAGGGGAGGATAAAAGCTCCTTAAGGAAAGAGAGTACAGAGATTAAGGCACTTGCCTTGCATGTAAATGACCCCAGTTCATTCCCTGGCACGATAAATGGTCCCCCAAGCACAGCCATGAGTGACTTCTGAGCACAGAGTCAGGAGTAAGCCCTGAGAATTTCTGGATATGACACAGGAACCAAAAACAAACAACCCCATACCTGACCTACCCTGCCCAGGAGCCAGAGAGATAGCTCAGCAGGTAAGAACTTGTGTGCACCTGACCTGGGTTCTATTCACAGCACCACATGTGTTTCCCCAAGCCTTGCCAGGAGTGATCAGAGAGCACAGGACCAGGAGTAAGCCCAAGCACACCCAGGTTATGACCCCCAAATAAACAAAGCCCCTCCTCTACAAACAAACAAGCAAAAAAAAAATCTTCCAAACTCCAAGTCAAAAGTTAGTCTTTAATTTTCTATATAAGAGTAAGAAGTGATGAGAAGAAAGAAAATACCAAGCAGAATAAACCGTATTTTTCAGAAATTCTCTTACCAGCTCTCCCTCAGGACCACCAAAATCCAGATACAGATTTCTGATGCCATCATCAGCAGACATTTTCAGCCTTTCAAAGGGGTAGCGGTATAGCATGCTGTTGGGACCTCCGTTTTCCCTGGAGATACTAAATCCATTTTCATAGTGGACAGTGAGTCTTACCTCTTGGCCATTTAATGTGCATCCTGTCGAAGACAATTGGAAAAATGTCATGAATAAACTATCAAGGAGAAAAAGATCTATTACAAAAAAAGGAGTAGGATCTTTTTTTTTGGTTTGTTTTTGTTTGGAGGCCATATCTGGCAATGATCTGTGATTGCTCCTGGCTCTGCACTCAGGAATTACTCTGGAGTGCTCAGGAGATCACATTGGATGCCAGGGGATCAAATCTGGGTGGGCTGCGTGCAAGACAAATGCCCTACCTACTGTACTATTGCTCTAGCCCCAAGAAGCTTTTTCTTACTGTGAATATATGGGGCCAGACAGACAGTGACCAACCTTTTTTTTTTTTTTACTTTTTTATTTATTTTATTTATTAGTGAGACACCATGAGGTACAGTTGTAGACTTACAAACTTTTGTGCTTGGGTTTCAGTTATACAATGATCGAGTACCCATCCCTCCATCAGTGCCCATTCTCCACCACCAATGATCCCAGTAGCCCTCCCATTCCCATCATTCCCACACCCTATCCCCCCACACCAACCCGCCTCTATGGCAGGGCATTCCCTTTTGCTCACTCTTTCTTTTAGGGTGTTGTAGTTTGCAACAGAGGTATTGAGTGGCCATAGTGCTCAGTCTATGACCAACCTTCTTGGTTTTATCCCTAGCACCCCAAATGGTCTCAGGAATCCTGAGATCCTGAGTAGTGATCCCTGAGTGGAGAGCCACAAGTGAGCCCTGAGCACTTTCAGGTGTGACCCAAAAGCTAAAACAGATAATGTAGTTAGTGCCAGGAAGATAGCACAGGAGTTAAGGCCCTAGACTTGAACATGGTCAACCCTGGTTCAATCCCTGCCATGCCAAGGTAGTACAGTGAACACTGCTAGGAGTGATCCCTGAGTACAGTGCCAAGAGTAAGCTCTGAGCAGTCAGATGTGGTTTCAAAATAAAACAAACTGAAAAGGAAGAAAAAAACAACAGAGATACTAGCAATGTCTTTTGTATCATCATTCAAATATTAAAGAGTTTTAGAGAAAGGATTCTGAATATTTGGAAAGGAAGCTTGTACAGTAAAATGTGAATAAAATTTATCTGAAGAAGAAATTCAAATATAATAATTTTTAAATGGCTGGGGAATTTGAAAAAGAATAGACAGTACCAACAAAAACAACCATGGTACAGTTTTCAAGAATTTTTTTGTGTAGGGGCCCATAGCCTGCCTGCTCAGTGCTAACTCCTGGCTCTGTGCTCAGGAATACTGGGATATGGGATACTGGGATTTGAACCTGGGTCTGCCACAGGCAAGGCAAGAAAGCATCTGTGCTCTTTCTGGCTCTCTTGTGTATCTCTTTGGCCCTGTCTGTAGCACTGTAGCACTGTCCTCCGGTTGTTCATCAATTTGCTTGAGCGGGCACCAGTAACATCTCCATTGTGAGACTTGTTACTATTTTTGGCTTATCGAATACGTCACAGGTAGCTTGTCAGGCTTTGCCATGTGGGCGGGATAGTCTCAGTAGCTTGCCGGCCTCTCCAAGAGGGGTGGAGGAATCAAACCCAGTTTGGCCGTATAAAAGGCAAATGCCCTACTCGCTGTGCTATTGCTCTGGCCCTAGAAAGTTTTAATCCAGAACATTCCTCAAGCTATTGAAGAATCCAGGGGATGAGGTCTGGTCAGACAGATAGGTTCAATGTGACTCAAAAACCATAAGAAGAAGGATACAAGGAGACTGTCTGATGGAAATGTGAATCATGCCTCTTTTAGCTTACTGATCTCATTCAAACATTCATATTCTCTCATTTCTCTGCTCTCAAAGAGCAGCCTTAAGCCAAGTCATTGCAACCAATATATACCGGGAAAAAGCAGTTCTGAACATTGTTAGACACCGAGAGACACAGAGGTGGTAAGATTCCTCCTGCCCTGACAAGTGATGGAGAGAGAATAGAAATGTGTGTACAACAGAATGAAGTAAGTGCTAAGATAGGAAGATGAAGAATGAAACATTGTGGTAGAACAGAGAAGAACGAAACAGAGTAACTGGGAAATTAGGAAAGAAGTGCGGGTGCTATTTTGGTTGGATCTTAATGATACAAATTATTACATATAATATTGTTAATATATTATATTATTATATTACATAATAATAAAATACATATAATAATAATGTTTCTATGTGTAGGAATAATAACATTTAAGTTCATCTATAAATGCAATAATAAAATTTAAGGTATTTTGAAGATTTTACTGCTCAAGTAATTCACAAAACAGACATTCTTATCTCTTCTTCAAGGTTCATTTCATCCTGAGACCTACTCTGACAACCTCTCACAAGCATACCCTGGGTTAGGAGTCAGGGACAAGATGGTGGCTGTGGATGGGATAGGAGACAGTGGGGGACAAAGGCCTATGTGAAGAGAAATCACAAAAAAGCAGGAATCTTGAACTTATTACATATAAGCCCTTTTATTTTCATAGAAACTATGTAAAATTACTGGGTATATAAAATAAAACACAGAGGGGCAAAGATTTAGTTACAGGGGTTAAGGCTCCTGTCTTGCATGTGGCCAACCTGTTTGGCACTGTATATATCCTCTGAGCATTACCAGGAGTGATGCCTGTGCATTGAGTCAGGAATAAGCGCTATGTACCAGTAGATATACACTCCCCACTCCAAAAACAAAACAAAAACAAAAATAAAACAGAGAGGTTAGAGACAGCTGATATGGAGCTTGCATATATATGGCCAACCTAGGTTTGATCCCTAGTACTGCATATGGCTCCTTTTTTGAGCACAACTAGAAGTGATCCCTGAGCACAGAGCCAGGAATAAGCCTGAGCAATGCTGAGTGTGATCCCCAAAACAAAACAAACAAAATACAAAGGAAAAGAAAAAATATGAAACAGGAGCAAAATTTACATAAATCACTGGCAACCCAGATATTTAAAGAATTCAAATCACACTAAAATTGTAACTATATTTTCATTTTGAATATTCTCTATTGTTCTAGAGTAAAGAACAGTTTGGAGCTGTCTGTAGATGGAGTTATATACTTAATCATAATACTGTAGCACTGCAGCACTGTCCTCCGGTTGTTCAGTGATTTGCTTGAGCAGACACCAGTAACGTCTCCATTGTGAGATGGATCATAACACAGATACATATAAAACTATCCACACAAATACATACATAACTAACCACAAGAGGGCACTTCCAATGGAGAGACCTCCAGACTTGCCTCCTTTAGATGGTCATTTCAGAATTGGGCAAATGTTTGAAACTATGAAGAGAAACCTATCCTGAATCCTTTATTCTCCTACAGGCATAAGCTCTATTATATGTTTAGATTTTATTTATACGATTGGGGCCATGTGGATCCAGCTATGTAGGGGAGTTACTCCTGGCTGTGTTGTTGCTCTGAGCTGCTCCTGGTAGTTATTCAAACAGCCATGTGGTACCAGGGATTGAACCTTGGGCTCCTGTATCAAAGTATGGGCTCCAGTCCACTGAAGTATCTTCCTGGCCCCAGAGTTCATATTTTAATTCTTTTTGTTTATTTGTTTGGGAGTCACACATGGTGAAGCTCACGGCTTACTCCTGGATCTGTGCTCAGGATTCATTCTTGGTGGGCTTGGGGAATGATACTGTGCCAGGGAGCGAACCTTGGTTGGCTATGTGCAAGGCAAATGTCATACTGTACTGCTGTACTATTGCTCTGATCCCAAAGCTCATACTTTATAACCAATACTAACAGGAAAAAATCTGCCAGTGAAATGAAACAGAGGCCTGATTTCTTTCATCATAATTACCTTAAGCTGCCATTATTTCAGAGTACTTTTCTTTTTGGGGTCACATCTAGTATTGCATAGGGGCTACTTCTGGTGTAGTGATTAAGGGATATTCCTGGTGGTGCTTGGGATCGAACACAGTGCTGGGGATGGAACCCAGGGCTCCCCTTTGCAAAACATGAGCTTCAGTCCTTTGAACCATCTCCAGGGTCGTAGAGAATTAGAAGTTTGGCACACATGATAGTTTTGGATTTTGTTTTTGGGTCTCCTCAGTGGCAGTGAGGGCCACCAGGACTATACCCAGCAGTGCTCAGGAGCCCAGTGATGCTTGGTATCAAACCCAGTACGCTGTGCATGCCAAGAATGTGTGTGCTCTAGCCCTTTGAGCTAGCTTCCTGGCCCTGATTTTGTTTAAAATAAAATTCCCAAAGTTAGGGCGCCAGTTCATGGGTTGGATCACAAGCTTTGCATGTAGAAATCCAAGATATGATCTCTGGTACCATATGGTGCCCCCCTACCACTGTTGGGAGTGACACTGAGGACTGTGGTGGGAAGTATCTCCCAAGCACTGTTGGGCATGGCCCCCAAACAACATACAAAGTAAAAAGACTAAAGTTCCATCAGTGACTACTAGGAACAAAACTCCAGGATCCATACCTAGAGAAACCTCCTTGATGAGCTCAGCAGCAGCGTGGCAACCCTGAACAAGCACCCTGGTCCAGGTCGACAGATCCCGATGTGTCTCCACCCTGAAGAGATGCATCTCAATGCCCTGCCGGGAGCCTGTCCTGGTGGCAAATGTTAGGTCTGATCCCAGGGAGGGGGAGCGACATCCAGAGCCAGAATGAACCAATCTAGAAACACAAACAGAATAGCAACCAAGAGCAATTGATGATTATCAACAGGAAACATCAGTAATTTATACTGATTAGTAAACAGAAAATTCTAGTGTTTGAAGTAGTTAGCAATTTGTTTTCCCATGAAATGACCCCTGGTGTCACGGAAGGAATATAAGGTTCAGTTTCCCAGGACTTTTATGTTCTCAAGAGGTCACACTGAGGCCAGAGCAGAGCAATACCACAGCTGGTAGGGTGTTTGCCTTGCACTCAGCCAACCTGGGTTCAATCCCCAGCATCCCATATGGTCCTGGTCCCCCGGGCACCACCAGGAGTAATTCCTGAGTGCAAAGTCAGGAGTGACCCCTGAGCGTTGCTGGGTGTGACCCAAAAAGAAATAAAAAGAGGCCACACTTATCCAAGTTTTCATTCTGATTAGGAGACAATGAGCCCACGCAAACAAGGGCTCCCCCATGATCTCTCACCGGTACAGCACATTTTACCAAGGATGAACCTATACTGACACCTCTTGATCACCCACTTTTATGATTCATGCTTGGTCTTCTATCTTGCAGAGACACATGCATAGTGACATGTACACATCATTACAACATACAAAATAGCTTCACTGTCCTAAACATCCAAGCTGGAGCGATAGCACAGTGGTAGGGCATTTGCCTTGCACGCAGCCAACATGGCCAACTCGAGTTCGATTCCTCCGCCCCTCTCGGAGAGCCCAGGAAGCTACTGAGAGTATCTCGCCTGCACGGCAGAGCCTGGCAAGCTACCTGTGACGTACTCGACATGCCAAAACACAGTAACAACAAGTCTCATGATGGAGACATTACTGGGCCCGCTCGAGCAAATCGATGAACAATGGGAGGACCGTCCTAAACATCCATTCATTGCCTATCCATCTGTCTCTACTTGTGGTACTTACATCTTGGATGCTGGGCATTCAGCTGTAGAGTGTAGGGTCCCAGACAACAGAGTTACAGGCACTATATTTGGAGGACATGGGTACCACTAGGGATTCAAATTGCAGCTCCACGCTTGAAAAGTGGAGCTTTAGCCACTGAGTCATCCTCCCAGACCCCATGACTATTTAAAGACAATTTTTTTGTAAAGGGTGTCAGGTCTGTGTCAAAAAAAAAAATTTTCAAGTGTGGCTATTTAATTGTTTCAGAATCACTGAAGAAATTATCTTTACTACATTACGTGATCTTTCTCCTGTCAGACAGTGAATATATTTCTGAGTCTATTTTGGAGTTTTCGATTCTGTTTCACATCTATTCTTTTACCAAACATATCACGTTCATATAATAGTTTTCTTTCTTCCTTCCGAATATATACGCTTCTATTTCTCTTTTTGTCTTATTTCATTAAGCAAGGACTACTGTACAATGTTAAAAAGAAATACTGAGGGACCCAAATACTGAGGGATTGCGGGTAGGGCATTTGCATTGCAGTGGCTGATCTGGGCTCAAACCCTGGCATCCCATATGGTCCTCTGAGACCTCATTTCTCACCATTGAGTAAGATATTAACTGTAGGGCTTTGTAGATTTTTCTTTATCTTGTTGAGAAAATACTCCTTTATTTCTGGTTTGCTAAGAAGTTTTTGGATTTTTTAATCATGAATGGGTATTATTTTTAGCAAACCCTTTTAACATATCTCCAGATGTAGTTTTGTACATACAGATAACCAAGCTCATTGAGGTTTCTTGGGGGTTAAAGATGCCGCTCTGTTTAACGTTCATTGATTTAAAGAAGGCCTTTGATTCTGTTGAGACGGAAGCGGTCATTGAAGCCCTAGCCAATCAGGGCATTCAAGCCCAATACATCAAGATCCTCCGTGAGCTGTATTGCGGATTCACTACCAGGATCTCACCATTCTACAAAGAAGTAATCATTGATGTCAAGAGAGGGGTTCGGCAGGGTGACACCATTTCACCGAAACTCTTCAGTGCCACCCTCGAGAACATCATGCGACGACTGGAATGGGAAGGAATTGGAGTGAAGATAGATGGTCGGCAACTACACCACCTCCGCTTTGCTGATGACATTGTTTTAATAACACCAAACATCAGCCAAGCGGCACAAATGCTGGCCGACTTTGACCGTGAGTATGGAAAGGTAGGACTACAGCTGAATCTTACGAAGACAATGTTTATGAGAAACAGCCTTGTTCCTGACGCCCCATTCGCTCTCAATGGAACGACCATCTCCGAATGCAACAGCTATGTGTACCTAGGTCGAGAGGTCAACATGAGAAATGACCTGGCACCCGAGCTGCGCAGGAGGAAGAGAGCGGCTTGGAACGCCTTCAAAAGTGTCAAAGAAATAGCTAATAGGACGAAGAACCTCTGGCTCGGGGCACATCTCTTTGATTCCACTGTTCTTCCTGCATTAACATATGCCTCAGAGACCTGGGCCCTACGCAAACAGGATGAGAATGCTACTCAGGTCTCCCAAAGAAGAATAGAAAGAGCTATGCTTGGAATGTCATGTTTCACTCAAATGAGAGAAAGAATCTGGAGTTCTGACATCTGTCGACGATCAAGAATCAGGGACGCTGTCTCATTTGCCAAGGTGTCAAAAATCAGATGGGCTGGTCATGTAATGACATTTAAAGACGACCGCTGGACTAGAGCTGTTACCAACTGGATTCCACGGGATGTCAAAAGACCGCGTGGACGCCCACCTTCCAGATGGTCAGACTTCTTCGTGAAGATCATGAACGATCGGTTTGAGGCTCTTCATGTTCCCAGAGCGAACAGATGCCATTGGGCTACACTAGCACGCGACAGGGACAAATGGAGACGTTACTGGCGCCCGCTCGAGCAAATCGACGACTAACAGGAAGTTAAGTGTAAGTGATTAAGTAGTTTTGTTGCTATGATTAATTTTCAAATATTGATCAAATCTGGCATACCTCAGATAAATCCCACTAATTATGATGTCAACTTCTTTTTTACACCTTTCCGAATTCAATTTGCTAATTTTATTATTATTATTATTATTATTATTTTTTTTTGCTTTTTGGGTCACACCCGGCGATGCACAGCAGCTACCCTGGCTCTGCACTCAGGAATTACTCCTAGCAGTGCTCCAGGACTATATGGGATGCTGGAAATCGAACCCAGGTCAGTAAATGCCCTACCCACTGTGCTATCGCTCCAGCTCCTAATTTGCTAATATTTTGCAGAGCAGTTTTATTATCAATGCCTGTGAGAAATATTGGTCTGTATTTTTCTTTCATTTTCTTTGTCTGGTTTTGGTAGTAGGGTCATGCTGGCCTTACAGATAGAGTTAGAAAGTGTATCTGATGCTCTATCCTCTAGACAAGATCATAGGAAATGGTATACTTTTATACATTTATTATTTCTTGAATTTTGGGGACTGTTAGTCTTGGAGCAAAACCCAGACTTACTCCTGGCACTAAACTCCAACCACTCCTGGCAGGACTTCGGGGACGTTATAGGATGCCAGAGATCAAAACCAGGTTGGCTGTGTCCAACACAAATGCCCTGCTGCTCCAACCCTTTCTTAGATTATTTTGGCTACACTTAGTGGTACTAAGGTCTATTCCTGGCTCAGTGCTCAAGGGATCATATGCAGTGTTGAGGATGGAAGACAAGAATTTTACCTCCTTTACTATCTCCAGCTCCTAGAACTGGTATAATCTTCATGTTTGGTTGTATTCAATAGTGAATCTATCTGGGCCTAGTGGTATTTTGAAAGACCTAATTAAACTTTCAATAAAAAATTAGCACCAATTAATTTAATTTATTTATTTGGGCTGGAGCAATAGCACAGCGTGTAGGGCATTTGCCTTGCATACGACCGACCTGGGTTTGATTCCTCAGCCCCTCTCGGAGAGCGCGGCAAGCTACTGAGAGTATCCTACCTGCATAGCAAAGCCTGGCAAGCAACCATGGTATATTGATATGCCAAAAACAGTAACAAGTCTCACAATGGAGATGTTACTGGTGCCCGCTCGAGCAAATCAATGAACAATGGGAGTACAGTACTACAGTGCTTTATTTATTTATTTTTTTGCTTTTTCAGGGGGTCACACCCGGCGATGCTCAGGTGTTACTCCTGGCTCTGCACTCAGGAATTACTCCTGGTGGTTCTCGGACAACCATACGGGATACTGGGTCATATGGACCCAATCGAACCCGGGTTGGCCGCGTGCAAGGTAAATGCTCTACCCATTGTGCTATCACTCCAGCCCCAGCACCAAATTATTTTAGATCTAAACATAAAAATGCATAAAGTTTATATTAGACATAAAAGAAAATCTTGGTGATCTAGGCTAAAGAGAGTAAGAAGGTTAAAATGCTTGCCTTGTATGACCCTAATTAGATCCTAGCACTGCATATGGTCTCTGGAGTCACTCCTAGGACTGAACCTGGGTCAACCGTGTTCAAGGAAAGTGCCTCTTCTGTTATCCTCTCTCTCGAGTTCTGCAAATTGACTTAGCCAACTTTTTACCGTACACTATAATCACCAGTGCATAGCTTTTTAAAAATTATCGATGTTAGGGGCCAACACAGAGATTAAGGTATTTGCCTTGTATAAGTAACCCCAGTTCAATCCCCAGCACAACCAGTGGTTTCTCAGCCTTGCCTGGAATGATGCCTGAGTACAGAGACAGGAGTAAGCCCTGAGCAAATTTAGGGTGTGGTCACCTTCTCTCTTCCCAAGAAGAGGGAAAATTATTCTCTGGTTCACAGTGTCAAAATTTATTAGAATTTCCTCAGATGATTCATATGTGAAGTCACGTTTGAGAAGCATAACCAAGTGGTTTGCCAATTTCTTGGTCTAAGCATCCTTTTACACTATTACAAACTGAGTGTTGGGACTGGAGCAATTGTACAATGAGTAGGGCGCTTGCTTACATGTGGCCCCAGGTTTGATCCCCAGCATCCCATACAGTTCCCTGAACCCACCAGGAGTGATTCCTGAGTACAGAGCCAGGAGTAAAGCCTGAGCACTCCTGGGTGTGGTCCG